CTTGTTGTGGGATAGAGATGTCAATATGACTATTCAGTGATCTATTTTTTTTTTTTTAAACTTGTGGTTAGGGTTTTTTATATGTCTTGTTGTCTTCGATCATACCTTTGTTTTCATATTCCATATTTCATGTCCATGACGACAGTGACTTTCCCTTGTCTGCTATTAAAATCATATATCTTTTCTTCGCTTAATTGTTTAAATGCAATGCGTTCTCCCTTTGCTGTTTGTAGATGCTGAGATATCAGTTTATCAATCTAAAGTCTGTCCGTCCTATGGCTACAATAAAATCATCAACTGCAATGTTGTCTTCCCAAATCAATACCGTACCCGAATTGATGCCTTTCACAGAAAAAAATGTCCATCAACCCTTGCGAATGAAATATGCGGGAATTCATATTGATTATGTTGAAATAACATCTAAGTGTGTATTCAACAAAGATTATTTGTACAAAGCATTAAAGTTTCTATGCAAGCCACGACTATAGTGCGCCATCACGGTTACACTGCTACGCACATGACGCCACTAAAAACCGCAAGGTGCTCGAAAGAAATTCCGTAAATGCTCTTCGTGCCATGAAAGCTGATTTTGCTAGTCATTGATTGTCTGTAAATACTAATGATTCTGACATAATGTTGTTAGTTGTTTGCTTTTTGCTTTTTATTCGTATTGACAATGACCACAATTTTTTTAGACTAGATTCTAATGAGCCCAACAAAATAAACCTTAGCCCTAAGTAGATTAAGTTTATTTTCATATCACTGCTTTGCACCAAGTTGTGATCCCTACTGAAAGAGCTAAAGCATTGCTGAACCTAAGAAGATGGACATCAATCATAACTGATAATAAACACTTGTTTGTATGTCCAATGTAAAATTGTAAACCTGAATCTGAAAAAAGGTGCAATGTCTTGGTCAGACAATGCAGCCATTAACTTTCATCTTTATTGATACGTGTACCAGTAATTATTGAAAAAGAATCAGTTTTCAATATAAGGCATTCTTTCATATTACAGACTATACCCATACCTGTTTTTGACTCTAATTGATTATCTCCCTCTTATCTTCCCTTGATAATAATAGTGACCAGATTGATATATTTAGAACGGCTTTTCAATACATCACAATAAGCAGCAACCGTAAACATGAACATGTATTTGTGTCAGGGAACACCAACTTTGTCAGTTATAAGATAGGTATAAGAAGGGAGTGAAATAGAAACATTTCATATAATACATTAATTTTGGAAGGTATTTATACGTGTAGGTCTCTGATATGAATAAATAGGATTGTTTACATATATCCAAAACTTTAATATCCACATATTGTCACTCCGCATTGATAACCTGGACCAAGTGGTGACAATCAATCAATTCAAGCTCATGTAACATTTTGTGCTTCTGTCGATGTGAGACATGTGATCAGTTTGTACGAAGCCATTTATTTATGTAATCAGAAGTTAATTCCACTGTACCCAACTGTCTTTTAGTCATCTACCTTCCCTAATGGCATGTGTACAGAAAAAAAAATCCATACAGGTTGAAAAGGGGAAATTTTTTTTTCATTCAGATCCATAACAATTCAAACATACAGCATGCTCTTCTTCATTTATTATGATTCAATTTTAGTATCTTTGTAAATTTTAATTGTTCCTAATTTGAGATTTTATTGGTCTTTTTTTCTCAAATCAAATCACTATATATTTTTAATCTCGTGAAATGTTTATGCAGTGTTGTAACTTATGGAAATATTAATATGTAATTATTTCGTGTTACTTTATATCTGAATAATGTATATACCCATTAAATGAAGTTAACAACTGAAAGGAAGATTTGAATTTATTAACATACATCTCTGAGTCTTGATCGATTATTTCGTAATTCTTAAAATAAATTATAAACCAATTCAATGTCAAACTTTAATTTATGTGTATAGCTACAACACAATTGAGTGATTCAGATATCTTGTTATTTGAAAATATATTTGATTTATGTTACATACATTGTAAATAAGCTTTTCCTTACCTGCTATGAAGCAAATAGTCTCTTGGTGGAAAAACTAAAATTATACAAAAAGCTATATCTGTTTGTACCTAATTTTCTTAAGGTAGTGTTTGATGTGACTATCAAGCATGCTATCAAACATGTCTTTGAAAATTCACAGATAACCTTCAAACTGGTGAATACTCAGAAAATGACTTGACCTACAAAATAGATTTGAATTTAAATATTTACAAGAACTCACTTATAATCACCAAAGTGAAATACATATCTATGTAATCTTAAGTTGTTATTCTCTCTGATAATTTTTTCTCAATTTGGATTTGTAATTATTAATTTTGATCAGGTTTAAATGTTTGAAGCCTCATACTTCTTTGTCCTTCAATGAATAGCAAATAAAGGTTAATGAAAAAAAAATGCATTTATTTTTTAATATTTTGAATGTCTGGATGAAATTGTAGTCAACACAATATATCTGGTACACTATGCCTAGTTCTAAGAGGTTGGCAAATTGGTATCCATGCACCTTAAAAGACATCAAAATAAAATTGTAAAAGGATTATCTTTTTCAAATATCTATAACATTACTGAATCCATATACAAGAAATTTTGGTTAAAGGTACAACATCAGTTTCTGGTTACTATGCCTACATATCTGAGACTGACAAATTGTTATTTACAACATATGTATGATTTACTAGTTACGTTAAGTTGCTTTCAATTTTATTTTGACGAATTTTAAAAAACACAGACCATGTCAATGCCGGATTCACGTTCAATATATATTAGAGCATACTCTATATTTAAAATAATTAGATAATACAAGGATGTTTTGCTATACTTAAATGTATATTTACACTTACATGCGTGAACAATATGTGACGTAATGTCGAGCGGCGTACAGCTATTACTGTGCACGGCAGCGCCTATCTTCATTGTCATATTTACAGTAAAATTATGAGGAAATCCATATTATATGGTTCTAAATAAATTCTTGCTGAAAAATCCTGTATTTCGACATAAGCTATTGAAGTGTCTGTTTTATCCTTTTTCTCGTTGAGTGTAAATTTGGGTACACGCACCCAATTTGATACCAGAAGTGCCAACATATCATATTTACCGTTCTATTAACAACACTCCGTCTTCAAGTCCAACAAAACACACGCAGATGAAGTTCTTGATCACTCTTTTTCAAAATAAAATAAATATTTGGAAATTTATCAGCGGCAAACGAAAAATTAAGGTAAACCATTAAAAACTAAAACTGTCGTCTAGATGGCTGACCAATACCCCCCCGTTATGTTCTTGATCTACACTAAACACTCATGTTTGTCAGGGCGACGAAACCTATTTTATAATGTTTGGCATCCCCTAATAACCCTATATACCAAATTTGGTCAAAATTGGACAATATCTAAATTTTGACCATTCAGAGGCCAGAATTGTGTTTCCGCGGTAACAGTTTGGGAAGCGTCTAATATGTCCAATTATTGGCCTTACTGAATTACATCTTTTTACTAAGTTTGAATACAATCGGTCAAATAACTGAGGAGTTATGGACATTTATTAGAAAACTTGTTTATAGTGACCAGTTACCATGGCAACCAAAATTTTCAAAAAAACAAAGGGGCATGCATATCTACACATGATCCTTAATATTCCTGTAAAGTTTCATCAAAATCGGTTCACAGGTTTAGGAGGAGTTAGCCGGACAAAATGTGTCTACAGACGGACGGACGGATAACCTGATTCCAGTATACCCCCTAACTTCGTTGCGGGGGTATAATTAGTATAATTTTGGATAGCGTCTCGTTAGGACGATAGAATAATTCAAACCATTAGCTAGTAGTGGTTTGTCAATATCTGTAAGCTGTTTATTAGCTATATAATCACACAATTGCTTTCATTCGAATTCCCGTCTGTTATTTTGCTATTACTCATAAATTCCTCTGTCAGTCGTTTCAAATTCGTTATATCGCCCTTTTTGGTCGTGTTGAACGGTTTTTCCCCAATGCACTTTATACGCGTGTTCATGTCCCAGAAAATGTCAGTTCTTAAACGCTTAGTAAGCTTATCGGTGAGTAGCGTTTTCTCGCTTTTAAAAGGCGCCAATGTTGTTGTTAATAACGTAAATTGTTTCCCTTTTGATGGATTGGTCGACATCTTATATGGAGATATGAAAGTGTTATATTTAAGCAAACACAAGATAATTTTTCTGTCTCGTTAACTTCCTTTCAAGGCCCTCAAGCTTTCGCACATCTCTGACAACAAATTTTCTATACATAGCTCGGATATTTCCGAAAATGTTCTTCTGGTTAGTAATGTCAATAAGATAGAACATACGGTAACAAAACCAGTAGAGAATTTGAGTTTGACGTGTCAATAACTAAAGGGTCTCCTTCATCAGATACAAAGATATAGAAGTTAAAAAATCGGGACTCGAAAATTATTTCGTCTCAAACAGAATTTCGACTCAAGCGATTTCGAGACAACGAGTTTCAACGATGGACGTAATCAATAATTTTTTGTTATTTAAAGACAAAACGTCATCAATATATCTGAAGGTGAAATTAAACGACTTTGCATGGTCTTTGTGACCTGTTTTGATAAGCTCTTCAATAACAAAAAACAAGTCAACCAACAGATGGGTCGCATGTGGTTCTCAATGCCAATGGTCTCTTGAAAAATCTTACAAAAGTAGGGAAATATCATTTATCATTAAGATATGGACTCGCTACATGCATTTCCTTCAATGGCATAATAAAGGTTATATAGTATTACCCACGTCATACCATAAGTCATACAGTAACATTATAGAAAATATTGCTCGCACCATATACAGTACAATGATATGAAAAACATGACAATAACGGCAATTTAAAACACATTTTAAAAAGAAGTATACAGCACATCCATTCATTTTCACATGTTTACATTCGCACACCAATACCAAAGCATTAAAGAGTAGAATCAAGCTTTCATCTAATCTTTTGATTGCAGAGTGTGTTCGACTGAAGGAGCCCCTGATAGCCTGTCTATTCATATTCATGGCGACGGCGATGAAGATGAAGGAGAACACCGCACCTGTCTGAGGAGAAATGCTTTACTAATACTGGTGGTTATTGGTGTTGTCACAGGGTTCGGACTTGGGTTCGGACTCAGATCAGCAGACTTATCAGCCGACGCTCTAATGTGGTTGGGTACATCGGCAGTTGAACTGCAGATACATTATTACATGACACAGGGACCTGTGAATCTGTGACAAGTGTATTTTAGATATATTGCTCAATAGACACAGAGGTCTGATAACCTGTCCTATCGCTGTAGCAGATATATCACTATATAGTACACAAGTACATACGAATTCGTTACGTTTGTAATGCAGATAGATTGATATATTCTCACGAATTGTGCATAAAATAAGACGAAAGAAGTTATTTATTAAGTTACCAAACAAAACAAAAATCAAAATAGCTTAATTCATGCGGATACATTGTTCTATCCGAGAAGGATTCAGTTATTATTTATCTCTATTCGTGCAGGTTTACCAGGAGAAATGTTCATGAACTTGCTTAAAATGACCATAATACCTCTCATCGCAGGCAGCATTATAGCAGGTAAAGTTTTGTGTGGTAACAAGTTATACCTGTATTAAGCATACCTGTAAATCGTTATGTCATCATCTTATCAAACATAAATTACACAAAATATACACTATAAATATAAAGTCTGAGTAAGAGAATAACCAAGGAAATGAGAATCCGAATGTTATTAAAATGCTTCGTCACTACTTAATAATTAGTGGTGAAATCCTTTGTGTGATCAGTTAAGCTTTCATTATCGAAGTTTTCTCTATAAATATGGTTAAGACATGATATATATACTAGTTTACCTTCAGGTACAGCAACATCTGATCCCAAATCCAACGGTCGAATCAGCATCCTCTCTATAACTTTCATCGTGATGGCCAACTTGTTTGGTGCTATTATGGGAATCTTGGCCTTCTCCACTTTAAGTTTGGGTAAGTAGTCATAGGACAATCAACTACAATCCCATCACTGAAACCAATCCTGATTATAGTCATTTTCTGTCTGATGTTCAGAGACTGCTCTCAATTTCGATACCTTTGATTTCGGCATCATTGTATCCCTTGTTTTAATCATATCCCCTGCTATTCCTTCGTCTGTGTTATGATCAATGTGTCATATTTTATCATTGTATATCATAAAGCTTGATCAATATCCCTTCATCCTACAGGTCTCTACCTAAAGTATTTTTATTTTAGTATTGTTATATTAAATTTGTCAGGTGGCGACACCATCAGCCCAAATGTGCAGAGTAGGTCCAGTCCAGATTCTCAACACCTACAAACACAGGATATGTTCGCCGACTTACTACGGTACACAGCCGACAGTGGTGTGATATGACACTTCCTCATAATGTCACATTATTGGGCTTTTACACCTAAAAATTAAAACAAAAATCATTATTAAACTTTTTCATTTAATTTTCTTCATATTTCAATGTAAAAAGTCAATCCGATCATTTTAGTGTCTACATTGCTTCTGTCACGTCTTTGACGTTTTACGTCCCCATAGTTCCCATAGTTCAATGTGTCCTCTAAATTCTAACGTGATTTTCAACTTTGTCGAAAAATCACATATGATTTTTACATGACTTGGTTAACAACCTCCTGTAGAGACTTGTTTTTGATTGATTTAAGCAAAACTTCCTTTTGTACTTAGATTTCATACAGAGTTCCAATGTATTGCAGGCATTGTCTTTAAATACAGGCCAAAATATGACAATTTCTAGTTGTATTTGTGATTGTCGTTCAAATTACTACAATCAACCACATTCACTTACTTGTTGCTCAGTTTTTTGTCGCCGATAAACTGTCATGATTTTGAAATCGGCTGTTAGAAGCATTCCATTAAAAACAACATAATTAAAAGGGCTTATTTCTTTACAGAAATATCATACCGGATAACATTATTACTACGACCTTTCAAAAAGTAAGTACTTTACTTCAACTTGTTAAAGACATGCGTATTTCTCCAGACTGATTCCAGTATATCCCCCATCACAACTTTTAGTCAGTAGGGATTGATTGTTGTTTTTTATTTGTTTTAACTTCAGACATCTCTTTGAATCAAATCCGCTCTGATAATTTTAATATTCTAAATTTGTTCTTAACGATTTTGTGTTATAAAGGCCCAGACCCGATACACTAGTACAGTCTCTGTGGCGGAAAATAACGGGAAAAACGTCACAGTACAGGTCTTTGTTCGTCATGTGGGAGTGGCCAACAGCACAAATGTATTAGGTAAGTAGTCAATTGTCTTAGGACCATATCCGTACACATGTAACGATACAGGTTTTAATATGTCACGTTACCGTGTTCACTTGTTACAAACCTTGTATGGTAATGTAATGTTGTGAACATGCTAAAGATTATTGAATTAACTGTGACAGAGAAAGGTAAGGAAAGCATGAACAGCTGGACTGAATTGGAAAATGTATAAATAATTTTAAATTGAAATTGTTATGCTTATATTAATGCTTAGTGATTTTGTTTCAAAAACCTAGGGTTTCAAGAGATGCAGAATGAAGATTATGGGAAATTTTAATGGTCATTATTGACAAGGTCTCATTGTATTTGCTTGTGTGATATTTAGTTAATCCTATTCGATGTTCGTTAGTATGCCTAGTGGTTTCGTTGTTGGTTACCTTGCGTTATTTGGGAACATGACATTATTTACCCTTCCAAAAAGCCTGGTCTTATTCTCTCTTTTTTTTTTAAGATCTGTGAGTTGTTATTTTGCTGATTTATCAGGTGTAGTTTTCACGCTGTTGTTATTATAGGCAGGACTTTGAGTATCGGTCTATTAATCATCTCACATTTTAGGATTGGGAACGATTGGTCTTGATCTACAATATGATTTATCATAATAATGACGTTTTATCGTTTCGGTCCCCAGGAGTGATCCTGATCTCGGCTGTGGTTGGGTTGGCCGCCAGCACCGTAAAGGAATCATCCACTAACTTTGTTCCATTCTTCCAGGCCACATCCAATATCTTCAACCGAATCATGAGGTGGTTTGTTTGGTAAGTAGTTTTATGGTTTTTTTTCTTGATAGAAACGTAAGGAAGCTTGTTTATGCTGTTAAATTTGATCTTCCTCCATTGACTTCATTTTTTTGTTTTTGTATTTTTTTGTTTTTTTGTTTTGTTTTTTTTTTTTTGGGCGGGGGGGGGGGGGGGGGATTATTACCAGTTGCAAATTAAAGAAATACATCTGGTTGATATCCACGAATACATCACAGTTTTGTCCGCTTTTTGTACAAGGAATTGTTTATTTGATCTAGGTCAACCCCTGTGGGCGTGGCCAGTATGATTTGTGTATCTATACTCCGGGTGGAGAGCTTAGAGGACACGTTTAGAAGCCTTGGCATGTACCTCATCACTTTCACAGTAGGGAACCTCATACAACAGCTCTTGCTCATACCCTCCATCTACTTCTTGGCAATACGGAAGAACCCTTTTACATTCCTCCTGAGTACAGCACGGACCTGGATGACAGTATTCGGTCCTTCCAGCTCGTAAGTAAGAACAATGAACGGGGGATTCCATTCACGTCCCTACTGAGCACAGCACGGTCTTGAATGGTTGTATTGTGTCCTCCTAACTTGTAAGGGTAATCAACGGAAGGCCGATGGCGATATTAATGTGCTTAATACCATTTAGTATGAATGAATGTTTTGTTTGACTTTTTTGTTCTTGTTTTGAGAATTTGATATTATGCTAATGAGATCAATATCAAGTTGTGAACATTTTACTCTATTTAATCACCCGAGCTTTAAAAATACAGCTGTAATTGTCTTAAGTGAGTTTAATTTACAAGTTAGTGTCCTCTGGTATTACCAGAAACATAGCTTATACCGAGTAAGGAGAACCTGCTTTAAAATCTTCCGGAATGCCTGGTCGGAGCTTCTGTGTAGTTTTGCCATAATTTCAACAGCTTGAAAATTTTGATTACATGTAGAATATGACAGAGTAGGACTAAAGAGTGAATTAAACTGCATCACTCAACCTATCACATTTAGAACTCGTGAGTGATGACAGTTGCCTTAACTGAACCAAGAAAACGTAATAGGGAAATTATTTTATCTCATATATTGTATAATAAAAAACAATAAATTTCGCATCATGCCACTGCTTACACAATTTAAACTTTCGGTACGTGGCTGACTTTGATCGTTTTCAGATCCTAATTGCTGGCTGCCTCTCCATGTACCTCACAACTGTTTTCTAAACAGATAAAAATCTGATCGAATTATCTGTTAACTGCATTCAGCAAATATATAGGACCTGTTGAATTTACCAGCATGGTGATAGATTGCCATACAAAAGAGAATATATTTTCCCTCTTTATTCTAAGGTTATAAACAATTTGAAATTCCAATCGACATTTTATTTACATTTGGATTTCGATCATTAAGGTTACTTTTTTTGATTATTAGTATTATTTATGTTGAAATCTTTCCATTTAGTTTAGTGGGTATGCCTGAAATAATCACAGTCTGCGAGGAAGCCCATCACGTTGACAAGCGAGTGTCCAGCTTTGTCATTCCATTCAGCGTCACACTGTGTAGAGCCGGAAGCAGTTATTTCATCAGTCTTTCTGCATTGTTTATCATCTCTATGAACGGGCAATATCCTTCCGTTTCTGAAGTCATAATGATTGGGTAATTAATTGTAGACAAGTTGTTTTTTCGTTTATTTTGCTATTGTTGAATTTCTCATTACATAGGTTATCCCCCTAATTGCATTATGTAAGTCATACTTTGAATAATTAGTGCAAAAAAGTGAAGATATTTTCTGTTACTTCAGAATAATATTCTCAGCTAATAGCAAAACAATATACACCTACACATAGAGTTGGATTATCTTTGTTCAGTAAATATACACCTACACATAGAGTTGGTTTATCTTTGTTCAGTAAATATACACCTACACATAGAGTTGGATTATCTTTGTTCAGTAAATATACACCTACACATAGAGTTGGATTATCTTTGTTCAGTAAATATACACCTACACATAGAGTTGGATTATCTTTGTTCAGTAAATATACACCTACACATAGAGTTGGATTATCTTTGTTCAGTAAATATACACCTACACATAGAGTTGGATTATCTTTGTTCAGTAAATATACACCTACACATAGAGTTGGATTATCTTTGTTCAGTAAATATACACCTACACATAGAGTTGGATTATCTTTGTTCAGTAAATATACACCTACACATAGAGTTGGATTAACTTTGTTCAGTAAATATACACCTACACATAGAGTTGGATTATCTTTGTTCAGTAAATATACACCTACACATAGAGTTGGATTATCTTTGTTCAGTAAATATACACCTACACATAGAGTTGGATTATCTTTGTTCAGTAAATATACACCTACACATAGAGTTGGATTATCTTTGTTCAGTAAGTGTTTGTGGATGATATTTTTCGCACGACTTGCCCTGATACCAACATGAATGTGTCACATGACATGTCACGTAATTAAAGAGCCACATAGCATCTAGTCTTGTTTTACGTTTTATAATCGAGTCAGGATCTGTTCTATAAGGAATCGTCGGAGACTAACAGTACACCTAATGATGTACAAAAGCGTCTATTCAGGAAGTAAGACAGTTTAAAATAAATATCAGTAACTTACATTCACTGTTCAGATGTTAGTGATGATGATTATGATGATGATTATGATGATGATGATGATGATGATGATGATGATTTTTTTTATACTTATAGGATCCTTACAACACTAGGTTCACTGGCTATTCCTTCCATTCCAAGCGCTTCAATAGTAACAATCATCATAATCTTATCCTCACTCAGCATTGACACAACGTCTGTGGGAGTATTGATGGCATTGGAATGGTACACGTAAGTATAACACACATCAGTGGGGGTAGTAGTTACACTACAATAGTACACGTAAGTATAACACACATCAGTGGGGGTAGTAGTTACACTACAATAGTACACGTAAGTATAACACACATCAGTGGGGGTATTAGTTACACTGGACTGTTTCACTCCTTTCTGATGTAAAAATTAAGCGAAGTCTTTCTGAAAACTAACGTGACAACCAAATGCCATTTTATTTATGTAAACATATAATTAACCAAGGGAAGTGGTTGTTTAAAACAGGATGACATCAAATGTTTCGCGATACTTTTTGTGAGGGATTTAATGCTCCTTTAAAACTTTTGAGAGTGGATATATTCGCCGTTTCGCCCGTCCTTCTATGTCCAGAGTATACCTTTGCCTACAGTTAGGCAGGGATAATGAAATTCGGTTTAAACATTGGTAATAAAAATGCGAGGTGCCGTGTACAAATTCAAAGGCCCAAAACTCATTGATTACATTGTTATTGCCCTTTGGTTTAAATAATATTTTATTTTCAGATTTTCATTTACAACATACACATACACAAATTATAAAATTGAAAATGGATCTGGCAACAAGATTATGAATCTTATATTAGGCCATATTGCCCTTTGATAAAAGTTCATGACCAGAGATTAATTATCAATTGTATGCATGTAATCCGGGATAATGTACCTTGATGTATACATTTATTTCAAGTTTATTGTTCACAAATACAAATAGGATAAGAAAACAGGCAATACCTATATTAGAACTCTCCTGACAGAAAAACACACATTGAATATATAGAGTACGATGCGCATTATACCAAATTCAGAGTCCTTAACCTTTCTATTAGAGAGTTATTTCCTATTGCTTAAACTTTCTTGTTTGAAACATAACTTTGCTTTTATCAAAACTGGGATAAAACCTGATGTATTGAACACATTGATCATATTAAGAAGATGTGCAGTGTACAAAATTCAGACCCTACAACTCCTTAGTAACAGAGTTATTGCCCTGAGTTAAAATTTCTTGTTTCGTTTAAACTAGGATAATGAACCTTTGTGATTATATTAATCATACAAAGAAAATATGTAGTGAATCAATATTTGGGCCCACAAACGATTAATTACAAATTTGCTGTTCATGTTGGTGTCCGGAGTATGATTCAGCAAGCGTTTAAGATAGGATACAGGGCATGCAACCCCTTAATTACAGAGTCATTTCACCTTTTTAAGTTTTTGTGTCCAGAGTATAACTTTGCTTTTATTTAAGCGAGGACAATGAAACTGGGTATATACATAAGTCATATTAATAGGATGTGCAGTGTATCACATTAAGTACCTGCAACCCCTACATTACCGAATTATTGCATTCTGTTAAAAATTTGTGTCCAATAATGTCCTTTTCGGCCATTCATTAGTTTCTTTTACACTTTTGATATATGATTAAGATGGCAGCCTAAAATATATACAACCGTTATCGCATTTATTAATTTTAAATTCCTTTATTTCACAGAGATCGGATGCGGGCGACATGTAATATGTTGCATATGGTAACGTGTACTATCGTGGTGGACAAACTGTGTTCTCCACAGCTACTGTGACGTGAACCGATCAGAAAGGATAATCTTATATTAACTGATATTTTGTATTAATGTAACAAACGAAATTAAAAAGACTAGATTATCATATCACAGGGGAAATGTCTGTTTTTTTCTATATTTTCAATTGCTTGAAGCTTTTATATTTTAAGGTTCTGATTTTGAACGGTTTAAAACAAGCAATCATATAGTGGAGTTGTATTGACGTTTTCAAATTTAAGTTCGTTTTTATCTTCAAACTGTTTTCAAAATATAATTATTTTTATACGAAAAAACGTATTCATTATATTTTGTGACAGCTTTTGAACGTGTTATAGCCCGTTATTGGAATTCCTAGACAGTTGTAAGTATAAAATCATTGGAAGGATGGCTATATTGAATTTCCGAGATAACAATGAGAGTTATTAGCGCAAGAGTAATAATATCATAACTGACAAGAGGATAGAACAATACAAATAATTCTTTGTAACCATGACAACCGTCATTTCAATCAAAGTCAGCTTCTTAATCTTAAACCACGAAACCACGAAGTATATTGATATATAACAATTATTGAATTTAATAGGGTTGGGATATGCAAGACATGGCAAAAACAAACTATGCTCCAACATATAATGGTGCACGTTGTTTGTCAAAGAAAAGAAAGATTCTAAGATATATATATTTTTTCTACCCCTTTTTGAACAATATGGAATACATGTGAAATTGTAATGTATCCTTGATAAGGTTAATGCATATTAATAATGATAATAATAAACTTGGCTAACAAGTAGATTTGAGCATTAACACTTTAATTTCATATATTGTAAAGATGCATTGCTACTTGCCAATATTCCAGGACGTCATAACAAAGGCGACTATGTGACTTCATAATGAAATAACGAATAAATATTCTTTTAAGCGATACTGTTTAGTATTGGTTTGAACTTTCAGTGAGATTTTCTTAATATAGTTTATAAAGTGGAAAAAATTAAATGCTTTCTTTCCGATAATGTCCAAATTGTTGTTAACTTTTATTTTCCTGTATTCTGGAAATTGAATACGTTGTTTGTCCATCCTTACGCGGGCCCGCACTGTAGCGTCAGTTTTTCCTATGTAAAACCCACTGCACCCCGAGTGAATTTGGTCCCTCTAAAATAGTGCGATTCCCCTTCTTGTGCATATCGGGAGGTACCACATCATACATCTTCAAGTTATATTACACTGGTGTTTTTGAAATCTGGATTTACACAGGAGCCATTTTAAGTTTTTTCGGTTGTGTTTTGCTTTCTGTTCATTTGATTTTCTCTTAGACTTCATTCATTGTTTCATCCTGTTTGAATAATTCCTGCATTTGTTGTACTGTGGCAGAAATATACTGTTTCGCCGGTTAAGGGTTGTTACTAATGCTATCACAGGTTCACTTCACCATTGTGTCGACTACTGGATTTGAATGGAATAAACCGTGCTTTAATAATAATAAATAATTATACACACTTATATAGCGCCCTATATAATTTCACAAGTTACTCTAAGGTACTTTACAGTGCATGTAAAATTTCAGTCATGGTATCAATAATACATTTTAAATCTACATATATGTATGATATGCTGATCATGGTGTCCGCATGATCACCAGAAAAACACCACATGTATGTTCACGTAGCAAAAATTACTAGTTTAAGAAAAAGCACACCTGAACAGATTTGTCTTAACACCCTTTTTGAAAGTGGCGAGTGTTGTTGATTTCCTGGTTTGTGATGGTAGGTTATTCCACAGTGTGGCGGCAACCTCCCCAAAACATCGGTCACCATAAGTCACAGTACGCGACTTAGGCACACATAGCAGGGACTCAGCCTCTGACCGTAATGAACGTGAAGGCTGGTAGGGAGTGTTGAGCTCTGTCAGATAACCGGAAGCTGTTCCATCGAGTGCTTTGTAGGTATGCATCATAATCTTGTATACTGTGACCTATAATGCACAGGTAACCAATGTAAGGAATGTAGCACGGGTGCAATGTGCTCACGTTTTCTAGTACTGGAAACCAGACGCGCAGCAGTGTTCTGGACTTTCTGCAGGCGTCAAGTTGCAGTGTGCGCCCAGGTTTTTAACAACTGGAGCTGCCTTTATGGCTTTTGTACCAACTTTAAGCTGGATATCGTGTGTCTGCTGATGCTTTGGTGCGAAAACAATGAATTCCGTCTTATCCTGGCTAAGCTTTAGCATATTGGCGTTCATCCAGGCACTGATGTCTACCAGGCAGGCCCCCATGTTATGCGCGATGGTATCCCAGTTATGTTTAGGTCTGATAACAATATATATCTGTATGTCGTCTACATAGCAATGGTAAAGCAGGTTATGGCGACGACAGATCTCATCAATTGGTTTCGAGTACAGACAGTACTTGCGAGGTCCAAGCACCGACCCTTGTGGAACACCAAATCCAAGGATTTTATCATCGGATGTGGCTGATCCTGTGGCCACACACTGTCGTCTGTCACTCAGATAGGACTGAATCCATCGTAAAGCGCCCCATTGACTCCATAAGAGTATTCCAGACAGTTAAAAAGTATGTGGCTGATCAATGACGTCAAATGCTGCGGATAGGTCCAGCATAACAAGCACTGCTCTGCACTCGTTATCTAAGGCTGCAACAATATCGCTGTGTGCGCGAATGAGTGCTGTTTCAGTGGAGTGTCCTGTGCGGTAGGCTGATTGCAGGTTATCGTGCAAACTGTTTGCATGCAGATGCAAATCTAAACGCTTGGAAATAATCTTCTCTAGTATCTTTGATAAGAATGGAAGATTTGATACGGGACGGTAGTTTTTTAATTCCTCCTTTTCAGCCCAGACCTCTTAATTAATGGTTTGACATTAGCAAATTTGAATCACAATGGTACCTTTAAATCGGCCAATGATTTATTCATGATCGAGGTAATCAAAGGAAGCAATGCTTCAAGACATTGCTTTAGTAGACTTGTGGGAAGCGGATCCAGCTCACAGGGCTTAGATGGCGAGTTGGTAATAATCTTGCGCACCTCGTCCTCAGTTGTTAGTGTGAGCTGTGTCAATGCTTCGCCATCAGATGGTGTTTCAGCTGTCATTACAAGGTTATCACTGTTGACTAGACTGTTCACAGTACCAATGTTCGTTCTGATAGTCTTGTTTTTTTTCAAGAAAGAATTACTGAACTTGGTAGATGAACAGTTTGGTAGGATTGTATCGCCATTCTGGCCCATAAGATTTTGCTGAGCCTGAAAAGTTGCTTATGGTCGGTACCACATTCTGCTATCTCATCTGAATAGTAATTCTGTTTTGCATGAACAAGCAGCAACCCGACTAGCCAACATTGATCCTTGTAGATCTGTTGGTGGATTGACAGTAGTATTCTGCGCCATTGTCTCTCTGCTTTTCTTCGCTTCTGCTTTGCCTTGAGCAATTCCTCTGTATAGCAGGGAGCATTTGGTCTGTTGGTAATCACCTTGGTCTGCAGCGGTGCATGTTTGTCTATCAGGTCATTTATACCAGAATTGAATGCTTCGACAAGATCGTCTACCCCACCAGCAGTTGACTGTAGTGTGTGAGAGGATTCAATGTCTCTAATGAAATCTGGTACAGAAATTTCACAATATCTCCGGAAACTGACCTCCTTTCTAATGCGACCTGGTTTACCACAACTGAGTGTAGTATGCATCGGAAGGTGATCACAAGATGGGTTCCCCTTGACATCACTAAGGCACGGGTCTACGACAGATGGTACTCCATAAATGATCGCGCTATTTTCTCTTGTGATAACCACATCGAGTGTATGGCCATGAACATGTGTAACTTTAGTCACATGTTGCACCACAAGCATCTAGTAGCTCAGAGAACTGACGAGAATCAGCGTTTATTGGGTCGTCTAGATGGAAATTGAGATCACCTGTTATAATGATCTCATGTGGTATTACAACCTGATGGTCCAGCCAGTTAGACCACTCTTCGAAAAACAAGCGGCAAAAGGGAAGTATATCTCCATTAAAAATGGTGTTCTTAAATCAATTCAGACACAGTAATGTGTAAACACAAAACAAAAATCATTACAGGAACTCATTTACGAAGATTTGAAAAAGAGGGATTTTCCTATAGTGAATATCCCATTGTTACAAACAGATGTAGTAATAGCCATCCCAGATCCCCCAGCTTACCGTGTCTGCATGTCACATTTAATTTGGTATTAAAGGATTTGTTGTCAATATCACATTTTGACATAAATGCAGTTTGATGAAAACAGAAGTTTTATGGTTGCTATAATGATCTCATTCGGATCTATTCTCGCGCTGTTCCTGTTGGCCCGCAATGTCCTGATTTCTGGTTTACAATGAACGAAACAATTGAAAATTGAATTGAGATCTAGCAATTTAACTCTTATGTTCCCAAGTATGAGTACAACCCATGGGAAAAATCAGGTCTGCTAAAAGATGGGGCAGAGATTGTCTTGCTCCAAAGCTGTCATATGGTCAGTGTGAATTAAAGTCATAACCGTGAACTTATGGACATCGTATTTCATCGTTGCCCCCTTTTTTCTTTCACTTTCTCTCTCCCCCAGCCCCTTCCATGACAGATGATTTATTTTAGTTTTTGACCAAAAAATTATCGTTTGCCTTCCTTCCGGAAAAGAAAATCCTGAAAGAAATACGTAATGAGCGTTTCTCAAATGTTTGTGGAATGGGAGTAACAGAACAGAAGAAACAATATCAGGATCACAGGTTTAAAATGCTTTGGGTGTTCTTAATACATTACAAGTATGCATAAATAGCGGTAGTAAACCAGATTTTAAATTCATTATAAACAAGAGAGCCAAGGCTATTAAGGTCATCCGATAATCGCTGCATGGATGGACAAACCACAGAATTTTTGCAGATGATGGTCTGACAAATCTGATGAAATCCCACCATGATATTTCAGACCACATTTGGTATAAATCCCTAGGGGCCGTATCAACTTCCTGAATGTAAGAAATGATTCTCCATGCTCAATGATGTTTCAGACCAAAAATACGGTTTAAATTTAATCAAGCATTACCAAAGAGTAGCATTTTGAAGATAAATATTGACTAACTTCCCCATTTCCGGCCTCATCGCCCACAGGTCACTAAGAATCAAATCAACTTTCTAAATCTTTGAAATGATAACGAACCTGTCATAATATTTCAGACCCAGTTTGGTTGAAATCTACCAAGGCAATAGAGTTGCATTTTGAAGCAAAATATTGCCGAATTTCCACTTTTGGGGCCCTATCCCCCAGTCCCTAGGGGTTAAATCAAATTTTTCAATTGAAGAAATAATTGCTCACTCTAACTGATGAATCAGGCCAAAGCTTGTTGAAATCAACTAGGCAGGAAGGAGGAGTAGAGATCTAAAGCTAATTTCAGCACCTCTACCTTTGGGGCCCTGTCCCTGGACCCTTAGGTGTCGAATCAAAATTTTGAATTTGACAAATGATAACCCTCACCTATGGTGCATCAGACCATACAAAGTTGGGTGAAATCCATCAAGGTATGAAAGAGGAATGGGGTTTTAAAGAAGAAGTCTATTACAACGACAGAGGAAGCATAATGGCTCTAAATCATCTTGACCATTTGGGTCAGATAAAAAGGCATGTCCGTATCATTTCCATACACGTCTAATTGGAAAGCTTTGAAAAGACAATTCAAATGAACCATCCTCACGTCGCCAGAACACTGTCAGAACACTGCCAGAACACTGTTGGTGAGATGATACCCAGCAACAGGAGGCATCACGGAGTCAGAAACCTTGTTAACCAACCAACCAATGAATCGTCCTCATGTTGCCAGAACACTGTCAGAACACTGACACTGCCAGAACACTGTTGGTGAGATGATACCCGGCAACAGGAGGCATCACAGCGTCAGAAAACCTGTTAACCAACCAACCAACCAATGAATCATCTTAAGATACAACACAAAATGCATATTTTTTCATATTTGTTTAATTGTCAATAATATTTATTTGTATGAACATGTCCCTAACTGGGTAATTATCATTGGTAGATGGTGACTAGATCTCTGTACCTATATGTACACTTCATTACACAAGTACAGTGACACCTACACACATAAGTAATTCCATATACAGGTAAGAAAATAAGGCAAAGCTAACAATAACTTTGTTTCCAGGTAATTATAAATAAGACCGAGATACAGACATATTTCCTGTATCACAGAAAATCATGCCTTTCTCTTTGGTTCCTTCCTTATGATGCTGTTAAATGTGTCTTTATTTCATGGATTTTGATAAGAAATGCAATCAGGAAATTACAAAAGTAAACAGTTTCTGAGCCATCATCTGAAACTTCCATCTATATATTATAAACATCCAGATACAAGAATCAGTCTTCTAAAGGCATAATTTTCATGACGCCAAGATATATATATATATTTTGTTAACTTCAAGCTGATCTGATTTTTTTCAAGTCATAATCAAATACCAAGAACTATAAAACATAATTCTGATTCTAAAATCCAACTTATTTATTGTGTGGGTGCTAAATTTCTTCCAACATCACAAAGAACATTGAAATGGAAGCTTTGGACAGGTGACCACACCTGATTGCAGAACAGGAAAACATATAGATAAGGGAGATTTTGTCATGTTTCGAGGTTAGGAATGTATGTAACAAACAAGACAGATATATAGTAAAGACTCTTATAAAAAGCCACATTAAAATCTGTTGTAAAGTACATCTGAACCCTTATACATAAGCCACTACCCCATATTGCTTACCTCTAGGGGGCTAGAATACATGTCATAAATGTAGCTACTGCTCCTTAAGTCCTGTCAATTGAACTTGAATTTTGAGAACAATTAAAACGTGGGGTTAAAAGACTATTTTTTCTCTCTTTTTGTACTTGTTTGATATATAAACTGCAAAGGCAAGAATTCAAATATAATTCAGGATTACTAAAAAAATTTAAAAGTCTATTCTTAAATACAGAAGTACTAAGAGGTGTACTTCCTAACACTTTGCTCTAAGACTTTTGCTATACAAATATAACTACATGGAACATTTCAAATTTTGACATTATATCTTAGCAAGAAAACATTTTCCCACAGAACAATGATTTGGATAAAAACAATGCACCTTAAACAGGTATAATACAGTGATGTCTATAAAGTTATAGGGCATGATATTTGCATCAAAGCAGAATTATCTCAGAAATTATTCAATGCTGATTCTTTAGGAAGACATTAGTTGTATAGCTAAAACTAAATAAATACATCGTTATGGCAAGTACTTTATGTTGTATATGAATATATTGTGACAATTTCACATATATAAGTTAATAGACTACATCAAGTTTAAAATGATGTTGTGGAGAATTCTTTACAATGTAAAAATTTACCAGAAGATGAAACAATTTCCTACACTGTTGTGGATATTTAAAGCAGGCCATTTAGATATTATTCCTGCTTATTTCTGTAGATTGAAATAAAAATCCTCTTCCTCCTCCTCCTCCCCAATTATCTTTGTTTCTTTGATATGTCTTTATCAATAGTGCTAATTGTTTTTGTCAATTAATCATTAAAAAGATAATAATCCAGATCAGCTAAACAAATTAAATGGAATGAGATTATATTTCTTGTATTTTTCATGTGCATTAGGTAACATATCACTTAATATCATAAAATATTCCTTTTAAGTTTGAAAAAAAAAGAAAAAACCCAAACAAACGAAGAAAAGTTCAATATTTTGAATCACAAATATGTATCTAGCATGTGAAAATTATGAAAACAAATACCACGGCCTTTTTTGTTTATCGGTTTGAGCAAATGAACCAGGATTTTTCCTTCACGAAATAAGGACAAGTATACTGATAGCATTAAGCTATCTGATGAAGCTTGATTTTAAGCCTTTCCAGGTGTCTAGTTATATTAGCAGGTCCATCTCTATTCATACCACAAATCTGAAATCAGGTGAATGATCTGTTATAACAATAGATCTAAGGGAGATAACTCCAACATTGTATCAGGATTACCTTCCCTAAATCGGAACATCACAAAAGTGACACACATGAAATATTTGTAGAGTTGTATAGAACAATCCTTCCAATCATTGTCATTATCATCACAGGTAAAAATATTTATATCTATATAAATGTATACAACACAAGCTTGTCTTCCAAGATGACACATCACATCCTAGGATTCACTGAATCGTTGATAGACATCACAGCTCCACACAAAAACTTCATCATATAATCTCGCTTACTTGTGACATGTACATATTGCTAACACCTCCTTATTCAACATAAGTCTGGACTAATCGGGTAAACTTTAGAAATTTTCCACTTCTAGTTTGGCAACTATTATGTGTTAACTTGTGTAAACAACCTGCTTCAGCTTGTGAGGCTGTTACACTATTGTTATAACATTAGTCATGATAAAGTTTATTACAATACCATTCTCATGACTTCCAAGTCTTGTATTCAGGACAGATGTATTCTGAAAGTTGTCCAACGCCATAATATCATCACCTTTCAGAATTGCTGTCTCGTATATTGCACTATTTTGACTGTACAAAAATGAACATCACAATATAAAGCATGATGAAGTGTTAATGAGTATGTCAACATTGCTTTCTTTGTAAGTTCTCTTCCTTAGACACCACAGATCTGGTTATTTCAGAGAAATATAAGTATCTGTAGATACTGACCAATAACACCTGTATTCAAGTCTAACAATATATTGCACATAACCACATCTTTTCCATCCTGGTGTCTATAATGATCATCGTTCCTACATATGTCTAGCCACCTTTTTCTGCTTCACATATACAGCCAGTCAGTACAATCTGTTATGGTGTCTCCCACATTAAATGTGGATCATCCATTCTGACCAGTTTCTGCAATATCATATCCACACATTCTATAGATCACACACATCATAGATCTGTTGTCATTATGAATCACAGCACTAGATATAATTGCATTGTTTCAATTTTCAGCACTAGCAATCCAATGCAGATCAGTCTCCTTTGACTTAAGCAATAGAGGAACAATGTATACAAGAAATCCTTACAGATTTCAGCACTACATGGATCAATAGTTATATCACTGTAAGAGGAAAGCTCCATTAGCGGTTTGTATCTGGTGTCCCAGTGACAAGTACCACAATGATTTCTCCAGTCAGACGAGTACTCATTATGTCCTCACAATTTATGATCTTGGTGACTGTTTGCACACTATGACAAATGATATCAACATTATCACAGCACTCGTTGGTAACCCTCACTTTCTGACATGCACACCTTGAAATCCATGACTGGTCAGCTGACCTTCATCATAGGCCCTCCGTCCTTCCTCACCTGTATTGGAAAACAAAATAATACAATGTAAACAAAATATAAAGTCTGATTTAATCCAGTTGACAGGAAACAATGAACAGAATAAGTGTATTCTGAAAATGTGGGACAGGGGAGATAACTCACCAAGAGACACAAGTGCTTCCTTTGCCTTGACTCTTACTGACTGAGAAGTGTCTGTGTGACAGATGTAAGCTAATTGGTCTATTCCCTCTGAAGCCTGAAAACAAAATGTCAAAGGTTGATTATCATTCAAAATTCTAAGTATTACCATCAACATTAAACTACAGTATCATTGGTGTCAGCCAACCGTATCATAAGGTATCTTGGTATCAAAGGTGTCAACCAACGGTATTTTAAGGTATCTCAGTATCACAGGTGTCAACCAACAGTACCTTAAAGTATCTGCAGTATCATAGGTGTCAACCAACCGAGTAATAAGGTATCTCAGTATCACAGGTGTCAACCAGCAGTACCTTAAAGTATCTACAGTATCACAGGTGTCAACCAGCCGTACCTTAAAGTATCTAAAGTATCACAGGTGTCAACCAACAGTACCTTAAAGTATGTCAGTATCACAGGTGTCAATCAACTGTGTAATAAGGTATCTCAGTATCACAGGTGTTAACTGACAGTATCTTAAAGTATCTACAGTATCACAGGTGTTAACTGACAGTATCTTAAAGTATCTACAGTATCACAGGTGTCAACCAACAGTATCTTACCTCTAACAAGGAGAGAGCTATACAGGATCCTGCCCGGATCTCTGATGTCTTATCCTCCAGACCCTCCACAAACACCACAATGGCCTACACAGATATATAAAACAGGTTAACACAAACAATACAAACATTCTTTCATTTAACATAAAGTTATCATTATTTCAAACATTTCAATTAATAATAATTGATAATTAAAAACAATTACAGAAAATTATCATATTTTTTCTGTGAATCATACTGCCAAATGTTGGTGATGCAGTTTCACCAAAAATGACTTATCCTTAAAACCAATATTTAAATGATTAGATAAAAGGCTGCCTTCAAATGGATCAAGCTGTCAAATGGTAGCACCTTTGTGTACACCTAAAAAGTGCGTACACTGGATCAGTAAAGAGTAGCCAAACACCACCCACCTTTGTTCTCTCATCACTCTTCATGTTGATAAGGTTCAGGTAGGATGCTGAAACAGAAAAAATGTCTTTAAAAATATGTTTGATCTAACTATCCTGTCTGATCATCTATGCAGGAATACATGTTCAATTAATATTATTGAAAGTTAGAATCAAATCATTGTTCTTGAACAGAACAAGAAATCCTTATGAGCTCATTACAGATCAAACCACAGAATCAAGAGCATCACTGACCTAGACACTTCTGGACCTCCTGGCTCTTGGACACCAGCAATGCACCCATAACCTTGAGACATGGTGACGAGGGAAGTTCATCTCGCAGTGAAAGGATTGTCTTAATCACAGCATCAGGGTTAGTGGAGCAGAGCTGTTCTATCATGTGTACTGTAGACAGAAATACAAAACTAGTAAATCACAAACATCTCGTGATCAATACCAGACCTCAAATGTTTCTGCAACAGATACATTTGTAACATATATTACTATATGGTGTACTTATAATTATCGACCAAATTCAACACTTAAATATCCGTCAAATTTTGATGAATAATTTGGCTAGTAGTTTCCATTCAGTGTATAATAGATCATAGATCTTAAAGGTTTTATAATCACTACCAAAAATGTTCACCTTCACCAAGAGTTTCTTTGTAAGTAACTTACAATCCAAGGCCACTCCATCCACATTGGCAAAGCCTCCCTCATCCTTAAAGTAGCGCATGAACTGGTGAAGGGTGACTACACATGTCGATTTGATCTTTTCTGGGTCGTAATTAGGTACGTCCAATATTCTCATCACTAGGTGTCTTAATACTGCAAGAAAATCATTCATTTCAATCACAGGTGCAATCACAGATGTAACAATCACCTGTCCAAAAATTTATGATATGTTCAATTAGCACTGTAATGGAATGCATATACCTAAAGAAATATAAACATATCCTTAAAGTATTTGTTTGGAAATCTTGATACAATGTACAAATGATTGCCTTCCGATTAATACTACCTTTCTTAGGTTCCTTGTTGTATTTCGACTGAAGCTGTGGGCCATATTTCTGCTCCAAACAGGTCACTAATTTCTCAGGATGTACATACAGAACATTGTGGTCTGTACACCGTGCCCAGAATTCTCGTAGACTTTTGTCGTCTGTCAACTCCGTCATCACTGTCCAAAGAACATGCAAAATATTACATATACTACGGATGTCAAAACACAAGGAGGCGAACCTTATTTTACGCCAGACTCTAACATACTGTGAAAGTCTTGCATCCCCAAAAGACTCATTTCTGTTGTCTTTATTTTACATTTTTAATGATAGAAATGATTCAGCCAGATAAAATGAGAAGTAAAAGTCAGATTCCAAGGTCCGAAATGGATATGAAATGCAAGAAAACCACCAATTTAAAAATTCAGCTATCAATAAGACTTGGCAAATTTAAGCATGTAAATAGTATATTTGTACAAGAATACCATGGTGTTCATAACATGGTTACTTAAAATTAAAATTTCAATTAAAACTTTAAATTCTGTAAATGGTATTAGATGTTTTATTGTAAATCAATCTCAGATTACGACAGAGAGGCCATAATGGTGATAAATCAAACCGCATCAGGAAGTCTGGTGTATCAAGAGATAGAAACAGTTGTGACCTACCTGACAGTAGATCAACCACTGCATCTGTACTGGCAACCTTTATCAGGTGCCCAATGATCTCTGCCTGTTTCTGTAACTTATCTAATGCATAGATTTCACGACATTTGAGTGGACCAAAGTTACCAAGGCTCTGCAATAAAAGACATAATAAATTACTTTTGGAGAATGAAATTGAAAAAATAAGATTGATCCATTTTCTGACACATCTCAATTCCAGCCTGTTTGGTATTAACAAATCTTATTTATGTCCAAAATGAGCCTCTCTAATATTCTATTTTTATCAACTCTTTGCTGTGTGAATTTTGATGTATAGTTCACAAACTCATTGTAATAATTACACCACTGCAAATATAAATCTCTAATAAATAATAAATGTTGAGTATTACAGTTTTAAACATGAGATGTCCTACCTCGAGTAGGCGTTCACAGTACACAAGGTGGTATATTAGGGCGTGGTCCACTTGGTCGTTCCCTGTAGTGGGAGGTAGAGGACTAGATCCTTCACTTGACCCCAGCTGTGTATCCTCACTCAGGCGCTTGGCCAATGATTCAATTCCAGAGTCTGCTGTCTTAGCGGTTGATTCAGGACTGGATATGATATTATCAAATGCCGCTTGGTCTCTAAGGTATATTTTGAAAGGTATTAGATACAATTGCACACAATGTTTCACGAAATGAAATTTAAATTAGAAATCTATTTACATATAGAATAAATTTTGAAATCTAATGGGTTTCCAAATGCAATAATGACGAGTTGATACTTACACTTGAGGTTCAGCTTCCTCTACTGTTGTTTCCTCGGTGTTGAGGAAGTCGAATGCTTCCAGAGCACTCTCTATTGATATACTGATACTGGATGAGCGTGAGCTACACCGAGACTCCTTCTGTAAACAAAAAATACTGGTAATGTAAGTAACCTGATATCGGTATGTACCCCTCTTTTATAAAAAGACTGTTAAAATAATAATAAATTATCCAAAGAGACAACAATTACAAAGGAAATTAACCTAAATGTTGTTGCATGTATATTAACTTTCTGGCTTCGAAATATGCAAGATCTACTAACGAGAATCATGTTATATTCACACACTACTGAAACCTGCCACCTTTCCAGAGTGTTACAGTCTTACCCTGAGTACATGTTCCAGAGTAACTACCACATCCTCCAGTTGCTCCAGTTCACGGTACTGTCCGTGGAAATCCTCTAGGGCAGTCTGCAGGGAATTGAGAGCATCTTCCACTGTCTGTGGTTCCTCCCTGACAGGGGTCCCACTGTGACTGGATGCCACAGGGAAGTGAAGGTGGTTAAACACAGAAGATGGCAGTGTGGAGTGTGAGAGGACTGGGGATGAAGGATGAACTGGGGACTGGTGAGTGAGGAGCCCCTCCCTGGCCAGGGGTGGGGATCGGGACCTGGTCTCTAGAGGTGGGGATGGAGGAGAGGTGAGAGGTTTCTTTGGTTGTACAGGGGAGGATGTGGGAAGGTTAATCGCACTGGAAAACCCTGAGTCTCTATGTAGAAGCCGACCCTCACTAGAGGGGTACGGAGAGGACTGGGCACTTCCACTACTAGCCGCAGAAGAACGGAATAGAAAATTGTCATCCTTAGTGAGTGATAGAGGTGTTGAGAAGCGTCGCTCCTGTTTTTCTGCTAAACTCATGTAGCTTCCATTCTGTAATATAAAAAAATTGTTGTTGTTTGTTTGTTAAGAACTGAATAGCAATTAAAGAGATTACAGAGAACATCAGATTTTAACAGGAAAGTTGATGTAAAGTATGTTTTTTATCTAATCTTTTAAAAATTCAGAGATTACAGAGGACTTCTGATTTAAACAGAAAAGCTGTCGTGAAGTGTGTTTTTTTATTTAATCTTTTAAAAATTAAGATCCTGAAGATCAGTCTATGTGAAGTGGATTTCAATATGTACTGATAAGTAACACATCAAACATTACTTACTAACTCGCCATTGAGAGCTAATACAGATACAGGACGTCTCCGGGGTGTGTTGGCTGGTCGTACTGGAACCTCAAAGTAGGACATACTCTCCTCCACACCGTCAAGTGGGCTGTACACAAATCAGAAGAATTTTGTTATAAATCACACACTCAACATTATATTCTTATCTTTTTAACACATTTTGTGAAAACGATTTGCTTCATTGTAATAGTCTATGATAATGATTGAAAACACATGGCAAATTATTTGATACTGGTGTAATTGTGAAAAAGATCCTTAAAGCTGAGGAAAATGGAAATGAAAATCTGAGTAACAAGATAGATGTATATAGACAAAAAACAATCTCCCCTCATAAAAAATAAATATATAAATTTTGCAAACATAAATACTTTAATAAGAGGACTGCCTTTTGACAACAGAAAATCATTGAGTTAGGAAAACCAATGCCTACAGTGGTGTTTGACTTACTTCCATGTGATGACAATGCTTAGTTTGAGGGAGCCATTGGTGTTTATGCTGACTGTCATCAGCTGAGGGTTGGAGGAGAAAAGGTCACGTGTATCACAGCTCTTCTGACCCAGCAGCACTGACTTAAAACTACGAGCTTCCACACCCTGTTTATATACAAACGAAGATCTTATAAACATTTTGGGAAGTTCATATTTCCTGAGGACTTTGATAGCAAAAAGTGAATAATGTTATATCTTCAATCTAATTTTAAAACAAATGGATTATCTCCCTTCTTTCCTAATGCAGAAAGTTGAAAATTGAAAATTCAGTACTTATTTTACTGTTAACAAACTTTACTACATAATAGTGGAGATTATCACAAAAGACAAATATCTGACCATCCTTCATGGGATTTTCTCTGTGTTTCAAGAAAATTTCGTGACCTGTTGACAAGTAGGTAATTACCTTAATATGTATGATGTCGCCCACAAGTGCTTTCAGTGTATACTCTGCATTGTCCCACCTCTGAGCCCCATTCTTTTCTACACGTCCTTTTGACTTCCATTTTTGGGTGCCATGTTTTAAAGATATTTCAAATACATCACCTGGACAAAGTCGTGCAAATCCTGCCATTCCTATAAAATAAAGACCAAATATGATGTGGAGCAGAAACTTAACAGTATAACTCATTTTTGATGGGAGAGTCTTTCCATGCCATGTTTGTTTCTCCATCCCTAGCCGAAATGAAGCTAGTAAATCAATGAGTTTCCATGGTAATTTATCGTATTGTTAGATTTTTGATTAAATGATATAATTCTGTCATTCTTACATGAACTGGTACACTTATAGTAAATGGAATAATTTCCAATTAAACCTGATTCCATTAGATAATTTTATGTACTGGAGTTTAACATTATATTATAATATATTATATATTATAACAAAACTGTCTCCTTCTTACCTTTTAATTTACAGTTAAAAGTTCCCAGCATGGCCTCTAACTGGGCTTCTATAGCACACATTGTCTGTAAGACAGAGGTCAAAAGGTCAAAGTAGTAATTTGAATTTAATTATAACATTTCAGTTTCACCTTTAAGCTAAAAACTTAAAAAAATATCTAATCAAATTCAATGAATCAGCAGTTTGGAGCAGAGGCTATCACTGAAACTTAGAGTCAAGCTTCTATGATCAACAACATTCAAAATGATGATTTCTACGTCAACTGACCTGTACCTGGTTTATAATCACGTACCTGTGAGCACTCCTTCATGCCATATCTGACACTGGCCAGTACCTCACGTCGTTTGGCCGGGGAAAGGATATATGCTCGCTGCATGGTTTTTGTCCCTGAAACAACAAGACATTAATTGTTTACTGAAAGTAGAGCTTGATTGGATCAAGAATGGTACTATTTAAAATCAAAATTAGTGTTGAACATTTTTCTGTCTATGGATAAACAGACAAAAAAAAAAGAACCCCCTGCTTCCAGTAAACCTCCCAGTTCCTCCTGAGAACTCAGTTATCAGTACTGTTTGGGAATACTTCTGGATTATATGTATAAAATACCCAAAAGGATACAAAGATAATGTTGGATTTTCAACTCTTCTCCACCTCTTCCCCCCCCCCCCCCACCCCTACCCCCACCTACTCCCCATTTAAAACCCAACAATTTGGTAATAATACATTTTACACCTTCTAATTCTAATTCTTTTTTTCAGAAAGACAATTTAATGTGAAATTGGCACAAATCCTCATTTTTATGATGAATGTAATATTCAGATTTGCGTGTTTCCTCAACGGAACTCCTATACGACTGTTGTAACAGCCTTAAAATTGCAACAAAAAGTCTCCAAAACCCATCTATCTATACTGGTAATAAAGATTTTATGTAATGGTTTATGACATAATATCCTGAACTAGAAATCAATCTATAGAATAACAAAGGCCTTCCTGTAGTAAAATAGTTTTATAGAATTTCTCTCATGTATCACTAACTCCTACTGGAGAAGACATATTTCAGGATTTGAGTAATGATTCCAGGGGACCTGGGTAGTACAGGGGATTCACACTGGGAGTGTACAGATACTCTACCACCTTTCTCAAGAATCCATTAATAATGAAAAAAAATATTCCCAATGAGTGTTCATAGATTCGTTTTCTTATTTTGTTTAAAATACGAACATTAGAGAAGTACATTAACTGACCTCCTTTTCACAAAATAGGAAGTTAAGGAACATTTCTATATTTCGTGGATTAATTGGAGTCTTGGTATTTTGATGATTACTTATGCCTTGAATTATAGCAGGAAAGTTACAAAGTCACATGCCCTGTATTCTCAAAAGTTGACTGTTGTTTTTTTCTTATTCTATATTTTCACTTGCGAGATTTATGAAGTTATAGATATATATCTGACAGGGATATATATATATACTTGAATGTCATTGTATTAAAATGTCCTCGATGAATACAAGAATTTGACAAGATGAGACACTGCAGTGAATGGCACCCCATAAAATACAAAATGTAGATTAATTGCGAAACACGTATCATTTTACAATAATTTACATATATCACCTCTCTATGTTTGAATTCAATGCACAAGGAGATTTATTGCGGAAGATGACATTCAAATACCTATTAAATGTATGCAACTGGTGTTAAAATCATCAGCAGATCTCACAATTCACACATAGGAATGTGTATGGCTGCAGGTATTGTGTGCGGCTGGAAATTGTGATAAAATCACTTCAGTTAACATACATCCTCCCTTTACAAATTCTAGACAGTTTAAGACAAGCACTTGACAATAATTTTGTTCCACAATCTGTAATGAATTTGAAGATATTGGTTTGTTAAATGCCCCACACTAGTAACGATTCAGCTGCTACATTATGACCATGCATTAGTCATTTGTATCTCAATCGTTACTCTGCTTTGATTTCCCGTTCCTATGTGCTCCAGTTTTCTTGTGTCAGATTACTCTGCCTTTAAATCAAGCAGTGCCATATCAATAGAACCTCTGACGGCCGAAAAAGCTTGTGAACTTTCTGGGTTACAACATCATGAATTATAAAACCTAATCATGTGACCTGATACAAGTTAAGGCCCCCAGATTTGTCTTTAATAGCCTAGCTTGCCCTTTATTTCTCTCTCTTATTGAAGTTTCCTCAGCCTTACCAGTGTTTTAAGCCGTTGTGGCTTATTACAAATTTTTAACACATTATCTTTACCGTATTGAATAAACGAACAGATTTTTGTCGTTCTGCAAGATGGTATCTGTGAAATGTATTTCTTGTCATATCACTGACGTTTGTATACTATTGCCATATGACTCATATTCCTGGGACAACATACCTTCTCGTAGTTGTTGTTGAACCAAATAGCAATCATGGAGCTCTTCAATCTGTAAAACCAGACAACACCGCCTAAATTATCATGATGTACTTGCAATGGAATGAAAAGAACTCGTAAGATCTGAATTATAGTTAAACTATAAAGATCACAAATTTGAAATGGCTAGGATCAGTACTTTCTTGATTATATGAAAGTAATGTTGAACCAAAAAAAAAAAAAAAAAAACTATATACATGTACTTTATTGTAGGATCCTAAAACACTTTAAGATGATTTTTGGGGATGTGACATATAGTCAGGCTGAAAGGCAGTGTTATAATGAATATCAAACTGATTTAAACTATTGTGAATAAAAATTTAGATAATATGAAAATATCTTACAAAAAGTGTGTAGAAATTGTGTATTGTTATCAGTTAGGGTACCCAACAGCAACTTCCCATGTGACCTGACATATCACAGACACACATATCTATATACAAATCATCTACATGTGCTGTCTATTGATTTCCTGTTATACTAATATTGTACATGTCAGTATGTAAGGCATTCACCCCAGTAATTCCATCCAAGTATGGTAAACCTGAGGCCAACATTTAAACAAGTGTCAAACTAGCTGTGTTGTGATTCTAGTCACAAACATCTGTTACACCAAAACCTCATTTGTTCTGATGTATTGAATACATTTATTCTTTCTGGAAACATTAAAGAATTGCCACAAGGAATTGCTACTGTGATACGTTTTAAGTACTTGTAAAGCATTATAAATTTGTCATGGGGAAACTTGAAAGAAAGGTTGGAATTCTGAAGATCATATTTGGAACACCATTTCTTACAAAGAATGATAATTGACATTGAGTCATAATTTATTTCTATAAATTAATGTCAGTTCTCAGCTGATATTATGAGTCTCAATCTATGTTGGTGCCACCTAATGTGATACAGTATATGTTCTCGTTTATTTTGGTTTTAGTTTAATTATCAGCTTTCATGAAGGAACATAAGACAATATTGAATCTGTATGTATGATAGATTTATGTGTATGGAATACAAACCTTCGATAGATGGAACTCTAGTCTCTTCATGTAACGCTCAGCTGCTTTAATTTGCTGAAAATATAACATAGACCATGCATCATCAACTGAAATGTCCACACTATTATAAAATGTCCCAAATGGTTTGTTTATTTGGACTTAAGTGGTCAGTCTTGTGTTGGGAAGAAATATGAAAATCAATTTTATAAACAAGAGCTTTACTTAATCTGTTCTCATTATCTTATTAAAAAACTGAACGGTTACCATAACAACACATAAACCCTAGTTCAGCATGCAGTCTTAGGTCTTAAGAAAACATTCTCCAGTTTTAAATATAGCATTAGATACATTGTATCTTAAAACCTGACCTTGATATTTTTAAACTAAGGAACTGTGGAATACTTTTTTTATCATGTTGTACTCAGTGACTCTCTTTTGGATGAAATCTAATGCAAAAAATGATAGTCATACCGCCTCTTCACTAACATCGTTATGCAAAATCAATTATTTGTGATTGTGTGACTGACCCAGCTAAAAGGCCATCTAGGACATTACAGTGAGTCAGATGAACCATAAATATTGTATAATTATCAAAACGGCCATGTTAGATAGAGCTATTGTAGGAGATGATCACAGAAATTCTGGTAATAAAGAGGATGTGCTGCCTCTATATGACTGACGGTGATGACAGCAACTCTGCCTTTTGAAACTACAAGTGCAGAGACTATTAATGAGAAACCTTAAGGACGAAATGGATTAAAGATTAGAAAAGTATGTCAGTGTTTCAACATTAAAGTAGCCTTAGAAATGGATATTTCCACCACACTTATCATATACAGAAATCTGGGTCATAAAACAAATTGGTGCTAATCCTAGTAAACTTATTTTTCTCTCATCAAATTTATATCAGCTTGCATGGGTTCAACAAAAGAATAGAGATGACTTGCATCACTGGAGAAAATGATAATTTGGGTCAACTGTATTCAGGGTGTCTTTAAAACAATATTTAACGAGGGAAAGCATCTTCAAAGGAAATCAATATTTGCCTTTTTAAAGTGATCTTGGACATTGAAATGATAAGAAAGCTCCAGCTGAATTGATATATATGTCATAATAAGTTCACATCCTGTAAACTCTGGATGGAACTTGGATCAGGTGACCAACAATGGTGAATATAAATACCCATAATTCACCAGGACCCACCCTGTCGGTCAATATCAAGTACCTACAGCATTACGGGGAGCTTTGAAGATTCCCAGTCATATATTTCCTCATGTGTCAGGTTAGAACAAACACATAGCCTGAAGGGGTAGTAAAAAGGTTAATATACTTGTTTGTCCAAGATACATTGCACTGTTATCAGTGTAGGGATTTAGTGTGATGTTTACAACTGGGGGACTCTTGACCGCATTGTTATAGAATGGACAACAGTCCCAGCCCCTCAGATAAAGAGATCAATTTCTAACATATAAGGTTGATGAAATGGAAATGTTGGTCCTACTTTGGCTTTAAAAAAAAGTATACCTGATAAACCTTAGAGGTTTTTAAAATAGCATACAATAATAAAATGTTTAAAATAACAATTAATTCATCAAATATTTCTATGTAATATTAAATTTGTAAACATGAATTAGTTTTGATAACTTATGTCCACATGTTAATCCTGACATGTTCAAAATGTAGGGAAAAAGTAACTTATTTTTACCATATTGAAAGAATCAAAGGGATTTATTGGACATAAACAGAGATGTACACCTACAATATTCATCAAGTAAAGTTGTTTGTATATATTTATAGACAAGAAATCCATGTCTATATGGATGCCATTTATCATCAACATCCTAAGGGCAATACTGGATTAAGTTAAAAACATGGAGTCAGCCGACAGTCTGTTTCAAGGTCAGACTGGATAACAATTAGCTTGTAAAACATTGACATGTATACGCTGGCTTTATTTATATTGGGTGATATCCCAATGTACACAACACCCTTGCCCATCCCTCATCTAATGGACAGTGCATGAGTGCAATGGTATTAACACATTTCAGCTCTTGGATGAAATTGTCATATGGATTACTTGATGATAACAAAAAAAACCCTGAAAACATTTACCAGCATAATGGTCCATTATAACCAAAGTTCTTAGGTACATAATATGAAACAATAGAATGGGCTATCAGGCTTGTTTATTTACAGTCAAACTGGATCTAGTGACAACATGTCCATGACCTGTTCCTAGCATTCAATAGATGAATAAATACTGAAAGTGTAAATCAGTATTGGAAATCTCTACAAACTTGTGATTTTACATCAGGACATTATTGATGTAACATCAAAACAAGACAACTTCCCATGTGTCTGCCTGACTCTCTACTACATCACAACAGGACAACTTCCACATGTGTCTGCCTGACTCTCTACTACACCACAACAGGACAACTTCCACATGTGTCTGCCTGACTCTCTACTACACCACAACAGGACAACTTCCACATGTGTCTGCCTGACTCTCTACTACACTACAACAGGACAACTTCCCATGTGTCTGCCTGACTCTCTACTACATCACAACAGGACAACTTCCACATGTGTCTGCCTGACTCTCTACTACACCACAACAGGACAACTTCCCATGTGTCTGCCTGACTCTCTACTACATCACAACAGGACAACTTCCCATGTGTCTGCCTATCCCTCTACTACACCACAACAGGACAACTTCCCATGTGTCTGCCTGGCTCTCTAATACATCACAACAGGACAACTTCCCATGTGTCTGCCTGGCTCTCTACTACATCACAACTGGACAACTTCCCATGTGTCTGCCTAACTCTACAACATCACAACAGGACAACTTCCCATGTGTCTGCCTGGCTCTTTCCTACAACACAAAAGGACAACTTCCCAAGTGTCTGCCTGACTCTCTACTACATTACAACATGACAACTTCCCACGTGTCTGCCTGGCTCTCTACTACATCACAACAGGACAACTTCCCATGTGTCTGCCTGACTCTCTACTACCTCACAACAGGACAACTTCCCATGTGTCTGCCTGGCTCTCTACTACATCACAACAGGACAACTTCCCATGTGTCTGCCTGGCTCTCTACTACATCACAACAGGACAACTTCTCATGTGTCTGCCTGGCTCTCTAATACATCACAACAGGACAACTTCCCATGTGTCTGCCTGGCTCTGTAGTAATAGTTCCAATAATTATCAGAAATTGTCTGTAGGGATGACTTATAAGACAATTTTTCTTCAGGCACTGTTGCCCATCTTTAATTAATCAATTTTTTCATGATAATTTTTTTTTGTATTCATGCTATGCTGTGTCCTAATATCTTCTTGGATTACCAGGTATAATTTCATTACAAAATGATACATTGCAACAGCCATTTACAAGTACATATGAAGCAAAAACTTCATACTTCAACACAAAGTGACATTTATCTGGTGCAAGCCACCTTGAAATTGACAATGATATTGATTTTTATCATTGCTTGCCAGCTGTTGATTCTAAATCAATGCCCTCCAATTAGAGGGCTAGTCAATGCTATAATGATGCAGCATTTTTACAATGAATGCTCCTCTGAACCTATCAGATGGTGCTACAGAGTCTTCTGAAGATGCCTAAATCATACTGTGGCACCACTGATTTTAATACAATGAATATAAAAACTGAGATTTAAGATAAGTTTTCTGTTGACATCAGTACCTTGTGTAGTTTACACAGAATCCTGGCATTTCTGATTAATAGGCCAAGATCTCAGAGATTTTGACATTGTGTTTATTTTCAAGTTTTTGTTTTGTTTTGATTCAGATCATTTTTTTATACAATATGATACTTTAAAGATGGAAGAAAAAAAACTTGGCATTATTTGTGATCCTGCTAGACAGCCTATTGCTATGACTGATGCAGTGTTCACTCTACAAGTGCAGGCAGTAAAGAGGTTTCTTAGGACAATTGTTATTATGTCAAATGATAATTCCATTGTGTACAAGTGTATTTTATCTAAGATCTCAAAAGCTTAAATGTTAAAAAACTGAAATGGCAACATTGTAGTTTTCTCTCTTTAAATAAAAACCCAACATATTGAGGACTCACGATCATGCAAATCAATAATGGTAATGTGTGTTTGAACCATTAAAACATAATATCATACAATGCTGGTTAGAATCTGGGGTTAAATGGTTTATAAACATGCATTTTAAAATTTTGTTAAGAGCATTTCAATCACACATGCAACATGGTAATCCCAGGTGATGACAAATTTCAGCTTTTACCGATAAGTGTTGCTATAGTAACCAGGTAATGAATTATTGATGATAATTCAAAACTTCAAAATTTCTTAGTCATCCCTACAACAACAGACCTCTTTGTTAATGACTAATAGAGGAATTTACATACAACATCACAGCAAACCAAGTGCACACTACTCATAATCTTTCTGAAATATTTAGGCAGCACAAAGTCTTTTGACTTTTATTTTGAAATTTAGAATTTTAATTCACATAATTGAAATACCTACCAAAAATATGCATGACTGATTTAAGTAACGTGACCACTCCCAGTCAAAGACACAAACAACCAATCTAAAGAGTTTTAACATTTCAAAACATGCGAAGTCAAGAGACAGCAGCATGGAAAAGAAATATGATGTTACAAAAGAAATTAACTGAAAGGCAATAATGGCTAATTAACACTGTTAGCAAATTGTGGATGGAAAACAGAATCAAGGTTCACAGATCATGCATCAATATTTCATTTTAAACATTGCAGTTACCTTGTCTGTTTCATGTAATCGGCCCTGGATATAGGAAAGCACAGAATAGGTTGTAAGATAACGAGTCATTAACATCGTACTAAATAGATACAACTTCAAGAAATTAGCAACACATTACCAAAGTTTTGTTTTTATTTTTTTATCCAATTTTACTTATGATTTGCACTAGAAGGGGTCAAACACATCCGAAGTCTCAACGATCAAAGGCAATGATAATATATATATATACAATATATATACATCTAGATGACAGAGTTGTCCTCCCTTAGGTATGACAATTATAATGAAGGAATCAAACCACCTCAGACTCTCAGTTAAAGGAATGTGTGTAATCACCACACAAACCATCTACTTGTTTCAATAAATTACGGATGACAGTGTTGTATGCTCCTGCAATGAAAGCATGACATGAGCAAAACACAAAGACGTGTTATTCGTTGATGTAAAATGAATTCCTATTTAAATCAGGCACTTCAATTTATTCACAATTAGAGTAAAAATGAAGCTTGAAACAATAGAGCTTGGAATTAATTTAAAATTGAAAACACATTTCAGATGCTAATGATATTCAGGAATTCAAATGAAACCAAACCTATTCCATTAATGTGTGTCAATCACTCCATGTGTGTTATTTGATTTTTTTAGCTAAACATAATCAAGATAAGGTTTCATGTCGGTGTTAATCATTCATTCAATATCATGGCTCAAGGACATATATAATGTTTCTCGACAAGTCTGGGTCAGGATGTTTTTATCATAACTTTAACATCAAAGAAAATTGATTGACAGACAAATACATGTTTTAATTACAGCCTCATAATTCAGACAGATCGGTTGGTAATAAAAGCAGGTCCTCAATATATAAACAAATTCACATTTTAAGATCTCTCTGTACATCTTTATTCTGATATATATAAGTAAATTTCCAGTAACAACAGTACACAGTGTTTAAATCAGGTCCTTTCCTTATTTACCATACAAATAAATCTTGCCAATTCACCTATACTGTACTTCAGTGGTATTACCAACATATGCTATTTCATTGTTCTGTAATAAGCCCACCCTAAGTCTGCGAATTGGATGTAATTTGTTAGTCTCTCATCCTGTTGTAGGATAAATACATGAATTTATAGAAAACTTACCAATCCACAGCTGACTCTCAATATATAGTAAATGAATGGTTAAAACAGACATCATGGATACCTACATGAATGTATTTTACCTATTTGTCATGAATTGCCAAGATGTGCTCCAGAAACATGTGGAAAAGGACATAAAGAATAAATTAAAATGAACTTAGTTGAAAGAGAGACTCCGGGCATTGTTTAAAAAAAAAAAACCCTACCTACATACATATTGGATAATTGTTTCCATGCCAACAGCAGAATTAGGTCAAACTGTACCATTGATCTTTGGAGTATGTGAAAGGCATTAGCGACATTTTAAGGATCAATGGACAGGCCAAACAAAAAACAACAGCAACAAAAAAACATATTTCAAAAAATGCACCAGAGATGTTTATTTTCTTAATTTAAAGACATTTTGTTGTATTGACACACTGATATCTTTCAAAAGTGAATCTGCACATAACTGGAAATCGATACTGGCAACGGTATCACCAACAGGGGAGATAATTACTGTGCAACACTAGGGAATGGTAACGGTGTGAAGCTCAATTGAAAAGTAGAACTGCGGGACTGTAATTAGCTGAAATTCTTTTATAGACTTGGTAACTGGCCCTGTTTACTGAACGAATCAGTTTACCACAAACAACAAGACCTCTTTCCACTGGAATCCATGGAGCTACAAAAATCAATTTTTTAGGAGATCTTTTTGTAGTGGTGTATGATGTACCTAGGGAAATGACTTGGCCACAACAGACTTTCAAAGTTGGTAGGTTATATTGGGAAAATGAGTGAATGGAATGATAAATCAAACAAATTAGTCAGAATCTTTAATAAACTCTGCCCCGTTTGAAAAGAAAAGTACAGCTTCAAAAATGTAAACAATTGGCTTAATTGTATGTACCATAGAGTACAAAGTATACATGTCTGGTATGGGGAATGCAATAGCTTTACTCAATTATCGCCCAGATTCAATCTTGTCTTGACAGTTACAATTGCACCATTCATCACTGTGTGATGTCTATCTGTGTCTATCCCAGTAAATCTACCGACACCAGTAATCTCCTGGCTTAACACTGTCAACACTGCTTCCTCTCACAGTCGGCCATGTCCAAAAATAAGCCAAAGGCTGTAGTAGTGAACACTTTTGTTCACTCTTACGTCCCGAAATGTCAAATGTAAGGTGATACAACTATATGAATCCCATCATGTAATTTTAGTTCAATTAGAACATCTAAATTTTTCAACTATTGTTAAGTGTTTTTAAATCTGCCATGATTAAATTTCAAACTTAAAATAAAATGGAACATCTGTATGTTCAAAATGATGTCATATTTTATCCTCACAATCATATATCACACATATGTGTGTATATATGTAAATTGTATACATGGAGTAGTGTAACTTGATACAAGAGCCATCAGAGATGGGTTACGCTCTCCGATTGGGACAAAATTTAAGTATGAAAAATAACAAAGGGCAATAAAAGAGTTATGATTCTTGTGCACTGCCATCCTACTTGTTGAGACCTATCTACCTAGGAAGTTTCTTGTTCATACCTTTTATAGTTTTAGTGTAATGCTCCAGACAAAAGTATGAAAAATAAGAAAGGGCAATAACTCCTTAATTATGCAAAAGGGAATTGTGGTTCTGGTGCATATCACTCCTCCTTGTTGTGATCACTATCTACCTCATATAGTTTTTGTGTTATGCTCCGGACAACATTATGATGGACAGACAAATCCCTTCGGGGATTTTCATCTTAAAAGTTCAAAATTCAACCAATTCATTTAATTTAGGTGATAATTATAAACTTGGTTAATTGTTAGGTATCACACCACCAAATATCTGGAAATCTCTGCTGTTATTCTGGCACCATATTCTAAAGAATATGGTGCCAGAATAACATTGTATCATTAAATCTTGCACTAGATTCAGCTGTAGCTGACAGTAGATGCTGTATAATTCTCTATTCTCCCCCAAGTCTATTTCGTATTATGAAACCCCAGACAGCAGCTCATCAATTCCATTGCAGTTACAATTATGCAATACTCTTCTTAGTTCCTAACTTTTTCTCCTAGACCACATGGGATTTGCCTTGTTTTAACTCTATGATAAAAGCAGTGTGATGCCTATGTACTTGTATCTCTGTTAGTGATTTATTTTAAAGGACACCAACAAGGATCAGTCCACATAACAATGACAAAACACCCTTTAGCTATTGTTACACAGTAGAACTCCCACAACCAATAAAACTATCTTGATTTGATTTCCTTGGAGGTCTCTTATCTAGAATACATTTGGATGTATATATATTTGTACTGAGAATCATGTGTGTTGCGGAAACATATATTAAACAGCAACTGTACAGAGATGTTCTATCATAACTTAAGGGTATATATTGACATGCTTGTTTCAGAGGTACAGAGAAAGGTTTCTGTCATACCTGTGCAGTAGACGTCGAGTCCAACCCCCTGGAATGTAACTGATCAATGTCATCTCTTGTTGCTTCAATGAATTCTCTGGAAAACACAAAATTTCATCAATTATGGTTAAGTTTTTTCTTAAAGAAATCTTACTATCAATCAAAAAGTACTTTTTGTTTGTTTATTTTCATTGACTTTTTTCAGAACTTGACCCGTAATACTTAAACATGACAGAATAGGAAAGATATTTTTTCATCTAAATAATGTTATACGAGTTTAAAATTTCATTTAACAATTAAAAACATTCCTCCTTACGTATATAATGTAAAGCAAAGTTAGTTAGCAGTACATGTGCCATTGGGAATCCCTTCAGACTCAGTCGCAAAGATACCATAAATTAATGTGTCACTTATCATGACTGCTATTTTGCGATCAAAGTGCACAGTTTTTGGTGAATTAAGGTCAAGTAATAAACTTTGAATTCTCAATTGATAAATTTTACAGATTAACATTTCAATTGCAAAAGTTTAAAAATGACACCATTGTCGTGAAGAATATAACAAATTATGTTATACGTAAATGAATTACTATAGAAAGAAGATACAGTATTCATATCACAAATAAGATGTAACTACCACATATAAAAGTCATAACACTAACAACATATGGCATACTTATTCTACAATAAGCCTAATACATCACTTTCTTTGCAATCTCAAAGGGTGGGCTTATTACAGGACAATGAAATAGCTTTATTTTATGATTTGATTGAACTGAGATATTATATAAAATGGGCTTATCAGGCATGTCTCCACATTAGGGGTGGGCTTATTACAGGACAATGAAATAGCTTTATTTTATGATTTGATTGAACTGAGATATTATATAAAATGGGCTTATCAGGCATGTCTCCACATTAGGGGTGGGCTTATTACAGGTCAATGAAAGAGCTTTGTTTCATGATTTCATCGAACAGTGATGTATTTTGTAGATAAATGAATTGTCTATTACCTACATGGTATCTATAATTGACAGTTGTCTAGTACAGGGGAGTCATAACAGCAGATGCTTAATTTTATTGCTCCAAATTGATGGGTATTTTTTCCTCCAAATTTTTTAAATCTTAACACAAAAAGAATTATCAACAAAACGAAGAAACTTCTATCATGAGACCAACACATATGCTTTATCATTGTGATTTATTAATTTTTTAAAGGCCATTTGACAGTTGGCTTTAATATTAAATATTCTCTGTTATCAGGGATGACTATTAACGTTAATACGTGATGTCTGGACATTACACCATTGTCCTGTTAGACACGTTCTAACCTCGCTGTTTACTCATGACTCACAAGTAAGACATGTTTTATAGGATGTACACTATTTACCGTATATATCATATCAGTCAGAAAACCCAGTACTATTTACCGTATATATCATATCAGTCAGAAAACCCTGTACTATTTGCCATAAATATTATACCAGTCAGAACCCCAAATACTGTTTGCCATAAATATTATATCAGTCAGAAAACCAAGTACTATTTACTGTAAATATCATATCAGTTAGAAAACCCAGTACTATTTACCGTAAATATCATATCAGTTAGAAAACCCAGTACTATTTACCGTAAATATCATATCAGTTAGAAAACCCAGTACTATTTACCGTAAATATCATATCAGTCAGAAAACCAAGTACTATTTACCGTAAATATCATATCAGTCAGAAAACCCAGTACTATTTACTGTAAATATCATATCAGTCAGAAAACCCAGTACTATTTACTGTAAATATCATATCAGTCAGAAAACCAAGTACTATTTACTGTAAATATCATATCAGTCAGAAAACCCAGTACTATTTACTGTAAATATCATATCAGTCAGAAAACCAAGTACTATTTACTGTAAATATCATATCAGTCAGAAAACCCTAGATTATTTACCGTAAATGTTTTAGCAATATGAAAGCTCTGTACCATATATACGCTTCAGATATATTAACCATACACGTTTGATCAATCCAAAAACCCTGTACTACAAATACACTTACTTTTACTGGAAATGTTATGTCCTTTAGAAATACCAAATGTCACTAGGGACACAAAATGGTATCCACAACAGCCAGCTACAATTATTGTCACTAGGGACACAAAATGGTATCCACAACAGGTAGCTACAATTATTGTCACTAGGGACACAAAATGGTATCCACAACAGCCAGCTACAATTATTGTCACTAGGGACACAAAATGGTATTCACAACAGGTAGCTACAATTATTGTCACTAGGAACACAAAATGGTATCCTCAACAGCCAGCTACAATTATTGTCACTAGGGACACAAAATGGTATTCACAACAGGTAGTATATATAGAACACAAAATGGTATCCTCAACAGGTAGCTACAATTATTGTATGTATATATAGAGAATACCATCTTTATATGTGTATTTTATTTTTACAGTTGGCTGTGTGAACTGTTTATCATTGATATTGTCATCCATCAGAAAACCCAATAATTAGACTGGAAGGAGTGTTAAGCATTTACGGTAAACACTGACTTCAATCAGAAAACTTATTAAAAGGTTTCTGATGGAGACATCTACTGGTCAAGGCTAACCAATCTCATTTTGTTTAAAATCTACATATTCTAATGACTTGAAATAAACAGATCAGTCCCCAATTTCACCTTAAAATCATAAATTACACCTGCCATGTTTAATTTAGTTGACCCTCATGTCTGACAAGAAATCAATGGTTGTCAGTTTTAAATTCATTTAATCTTCTTGATGTGATCAGAAAATCAAGCTATAAATAAATTATACACCAATTCCATTAGTTCTAATTCACTTAGATAATATCTATTAATGGTATATGATACAATGGCCAGATATTCTACTGTTAATAGAAAACATGTTCGGACACTAAACAGAATTTAGTGTTTTGAAAGAACTCCTCAACACTCTGATTGAATTTTTGAGCTGTTCACTTTTGTAGCTAATAAAATATATTGAATGATCAAACGATAAGATGAAATGAATATCCTATACAAGTTTTATTTTAAATCAGTTTTAGAAATTCCAGACTCTTTGATCATACCATGTGTATCAGGTTTACAGTAAAATGTCTCTATTGATTAATCATAGCTGGTATATCCTTTAACATATTTTGGTGTTACGGGCCTGTAAGTTTATCATATATCAAAATTAGTTTATCAACATATATCATATGTCAAAATTACAAAAATGATATTTAGTTTTATATAATTTGGTCTCTCAGATATGTCTGATTCTAGTTTCAAACTTGGGAGAGATAATGGAAGAATTTAGCTGAGCAATTAAAAAAAAAAAACAGAGTCTGATAACCAATCTATGCCATATGTTAAGACAAGTATTTTTTCTACCATAAATTACATAAACATTTGATTTCAGAACATTCCAAGCTCTACAACAAAATAAGACTGTGGTTTACAGTTTATGCTTCAATCTCAAGGCAAGTTCTGTATAGTAATTCTTTCGTCTCCTTATATGGATAATATGAAAACCTGACAAGTGAAGCATCTGCCATCCTATAAGTACCTGCATACATAAACTATTGGAGGTGATATACAATGATGTACAGTACCCGTAGGTGTCTAATCCTAACAAGCCAAGGGCCTACTTTTCTTCCCATAGTTATCACTATAAAATAGAAAAGAAATCGGAGATAAAGGATACCGTAGGTAGAGCTCATGTAGACAAACAGGTGTAAACTGCACCTTAAAGACAAGTTTGTGTTGGTGACAAAAGGATGACACCGCAATAATTTACTTGTATGGTAGACATCTTCCTCGGACGGTCTGAAGTGTAAATCACACCGTCTCGTATTTGCAGTTTTCATCCTGGACAGGAAGACAAACGTGGGCCTTATCATTTCGATTTAGGAGTAAAAACTAGCAGTTGTCAATTGACAGAGGAATTGTAATTTGCTGTCTGACATTTTAGTCTCAAATTTGACCTTCTAATGTCCTTGTGGTTGGCTGTTCATAAATACAACCCTATAGTCCCATGATGATACACAGACCTTTTTATAAAAATAATAACAAAGGTTCTATCAATATTTTCCTCATCAATTTGGAAACCTGAAACATCAGAGCCAGTATAAGAACAAAAATATACTTTGAATATTTCATTTATACTGATCAATGATTTCTAGTTGGTGGTTGATAAGCAGAGGTCATCAAGTGACCTTGTAAGTTTCAACCTGACCAAAACAACCAGTGATAGTAATACAATACCATCACATAACCGATATGTAACAATTGCAGTATCTCTCAATATAATGTTACGAGGAAATATTTGATGAAATCAAAAATTCATAGCACTTGGAAAACAGACTGGGTTTCCCTGTAATATTTCTCACCAAAGTAGTCAAATAGCATTTCTTCATTGGCTTCAAACACTTCCTATCTTCTGCTGATCCTATTACACTTTCATGAAACAAAGATTTACATAAATAATCCTGCATGTGCAATATAGAAACTAGACTTGTTTGATGCTTTTTAGTTTGCCTGTTGTTTCCATTGTTCTCATTTGAGAACCTGACATTACGCACATGGATTGGAAAAGGTTCACATGGCAGGTATTGTTGATGAAGCAGAAGATGCTTACTCTTTCCCAACACCTGGTCTTATTCTCCTTGTCTTTTTGTGTACAAATATATCTTTTGTTAATAATCTGTCCTAGTTTTATCAAATTCAATTTTAGATTATGATTCTGTTTATATAAAATAATATGTATGATATTTTCTTGATTCTGTTCATATTTTATAATAAATATGGTATTTTCTTGATGTTGTTTATATAAAGTATAAACATAACATACAAAATTAACCTAGAAACTGATTCTGGTCTAAAATCTCATCTAGATAAATGTTTTGAGCTGTACTTTAACAATTACAACACTTTTTTGTTACTAATATAGAGGTAGTACATTGCTATTTACAGTGGAGGCTGCAGGTTTTACAGTGTGGACATTACATGTAAGAATGAGAATTTCTTTGAGGTGTACAGCTCAGCCAAACAGTTGGTTAATAATTAATTGTCCATTCTGTAGAAAGAAGAGGTGTTTTATCTGTACAGGACAGGATGGTATAAACTGATCACGCAATGGAAAACACACACAACTCTATGTTGTAGGAGTAAACTAAATGTTTCTGTCTGCTAGCAGTAAACTAATTCATTGACTTTAGCAAGTCTACCTGCCCTTGACAGTGCATCCTGTACAGTACAGTAGTCTGAATGTCAATGTATAATTCTATATCTATTATAGTTAAAATTGCCATGCTGTCAAATAGGTGATGTAAAACTTCACGTGTATACATTTACATAGTGTTTATAAATACATTTCATCTAAAATTTGTTTTATACAACTCCTAAAACAATGTAATGTGTAATTGATGCTGAATTTCAAAACTGATTTCAGAAATTCTTATCAAATTTTTAAGAAACACAAGTAACCAATTCCAAAACAACACATGTGGTTCACAGTGTAGCAATTCCTTATCTTCATTTAGTCTTGTAAGAACCTCTCTTCTACTAGTCAGAACCTCTCCTCTACTCAACAGAACCTCTCCTCTACTCATCAGAACCTCTCCTCAGAACTTCTCCTCTACTCATCAGAACCTCTCCTCTACTCGTCAGAACCTCTCCTCTACTCGTCAGAACCTCTCCTCTACTCGTCAGAACCTCTCCTCTACTCAACAGAACCTCTTCTCTACTCATCAGAACCTCTCCTCTACTCAACAGAACCTTTCCTCAGAACCTCTCCTCTACTCATCAGAACCTCTCCTCTACTCATCAGAACCTCTCCTCTACTCATCAGAACCTCTCCTCTACTCAACAGAACCTCTCCTCTACTCATCAGAACCTCTCCTCTACTCATCAGAACCTCTCCTCTACTCCTCAGAACCTCTCCTCTACTCAACAGAACCTTTCCTCAGAACCTCTCCTCTACTCATCAGAACCTCTCCTCTACTCATCAGAACCTCTCCAACCTCTCCTCTACTCGTCAGAACCTCTCCTCTACTCGTCAGAACCTCTCCTCTACTCATCAGAACCTCTCCTCTACTCGTCAGAACCTCTCCTCTACTCATCAGAACCTCTCCAACCTCTCCTCTACTCAACAGAACCTCTCCTCTACTCATCAGAACCTCTCCTCTACTCAACAGAACCTTTCCTCAGAACCTCTCCTCTACTCATCAGAACCTCTCCTCTACTCATCAGAACCTCTCCTCTACTCGTCACAACCTCTCCTCTACTCATCAGAACCTCTCCTCTACTCAACAGAACCTTTCCTCAGAACCTCTCCTCTACTCATCAGAACCTCTCCTCTACTCAACAGAACCTTTCCTCAGAACCTCTCCTCTACTCATCAGAACCTCTCCTCTACTCAACAGAACCTTTCCTCAGAACCTCTCCTCTACTCATCAGAACCTCTCCTCTACTCATCAGAACCTCTCCTCTATGCTTGTAACATAATCTCACTGATCTATGATTATTCCTTGTTTTACAGAAAAGAATATTTATAATTATAAATAAAATTCCAGTAACTCTTCTCAAAATCCTTCATGATCAATATCAAAGGTAAAGGACTCAATCAACAGTACACTGTTTCACTTGGTTAAGTTAAGTCTATATAAGACTTACCAGTATTTATCTAACAGTCCAATAGGACATTTGTTGTCATGGTCAATAGGTGACCTACTTTATGGTCACTTTTGACCACTAATCACAATGACCTCAGGCCTGAGTCAGTATGAAATTTTGTTTACAGGGGTTTCTGATTCATAAGTAGACAAGGATGAGTTGACTATATATGATATCTACATGGGTTGTTTATCAGTCAAATACGTGACAAAATATTATGGGACATTTACTTCTAGATAAATCTTGTTATAAGTATCTGTAATTCAATAGTTTTACTATTTTACTTGATTCTTTACGTTTTAGAAATACTTGAGGTTTTTGAAGTGGCAGTCACCAAGCAAACAGATGCCATTAATTAATTAAATTATCAGATATATGGAAATTCTAAAATTGATTGAATTATGGGGCTGGTGTTCCTCCCCATCTAAGGTTTGACTTTTCTTTTTGGATTTTCCTCATCTGCCTCCTATGTTTAGCATCACTGATGAGTCTTAAAAGGACGAAACAGTTGTATGATGCCGTTTAAATCATTGTTAGGCTCTACTGTCTGTAAATCTTAAAATTTGTATGAATAGGTTCTAATCACTTGTGTATCTTGTACAATCATAGCATTTAATTAATGTATTTGTGAGATTTTTATCAGATGCCCCTTAAAACTGCATTTTTAATGAGATTGCAAATAATTATTAGTGTAAACTAAGTATTGATATATGTGAAATAAATTGTATTTAAGAAAAATGTTATGATACTTCAGGGTGGGGTTGTGATCATCCCCAAATCAATGGTATTTTTGATGATTTACTGGTGGAAACAAAGTTAAAGAAAAAATTTCACTTAGACCTGAAAAACATTTTTTTGTTTTATCTTACAATCCATATCCGGTTAAACTCTTATTTATTTATTTTTTTATTTGCTTTGTTTTTTTTTCTCCCTCTCTACCATGACCATTATTATCTAAAAGATTTTTTTTTGCTTACTGAATGCCTGATTCCAGAAATCAATATGTCCATGTTTTTGGACTGAATCTGTCTTTAACCATCAAAGTTCTACAAATGTCAGAAAGCTAGTAGAAAGCCATAGCAACAGGCCAGTCAGCAATAACTGCTATCATGTTCCAGCAGATATTCTTCAATTATAATACACATCAAGTGTCTGTAGCCCAGGGAGGGTGATAAAAGTAACAGAAGCCAACCTGCCACTCCAAACATGGATATACTTATTGAAATTAATGATTGGGTGAAGCTATTTATATCTTTCCTTTTATATATCAAATTATGTCTGTAGATATTAAAATAATAGATCAGACATTTTCAATTCTAACTCCACTTTAATGCTACAAAAAATGCTATCAAAATATCCTGCCAAAACTTTTCTGTTTAACATCTGATGATTACGACCAATAAGTACCTAATATTCACATCAGAAAAAGACATCGGTTTACATATGAGGGTGAATTCTTGGACAGACTCCTTCCTTCCCAACAGAAGATTACGTGGATAATGTTTGAATTCCTGAGTAATGAAAACTGAGAAATTAACATTATTGGTAGACATGTGAAATTGACTGTGTATTGAGATATTTACCTTACTCCTCTCCTTACGCTGTCAAACATCAGGAATGCCCGATTTGGACGTGGGACCTTTGGAACTTTTGGGGACTTTCTTGAGCTGCCCCCTAGGCTTGTCCTTGAAGCTTGTGGGGACTTGGCCCATCCCCGCCCTCGTAATGTCTCACCAAGGACTGGGGTGGAGCCAGAAGGAGAGCCCAAGGCCGGGGCTGAGCGTGTCGACATTCCACCAAAGGATTGGCTCCGATATACACTGGCTCCCTTACTAGAGGGAGGTAACTCTACGGTTGGACCCCTTGGGATCTGGAAATTATTGTTAATGTTCTCCAAGAGGACATGATTTTCTGTTTGATAAGGGTCCTTCCTGGTCATGGAGAAGGGATCTACAACAGACAGTAAAATTAATGATTAAATGTAACCAGTGAAAAAGTGTAGATAAAGAACAAATAAACGTAAAATGGAAACTTAATACTCTGAACCCCTGTGTTACACACCTGATACAGGTAGATACCCCTTAACCCCTGTGTTACACACCTGATACAGGTAGATACTCCTTAACCCCTGTGTTACACACCTGATACAGGTAGATACCCCTTAACCCCTGTGTTACACACAGATACAGGTAGATACTCCTCAACCTCTGTGTTACACACAGATACAGGTAGATACTCCTCAACCTCTGTGTTACACACAGATACAGGTAGATACTCCTCAACCTCTGTGTTACACACCTGATACAGGTAGATACCCCTCAACCTCTGTGTTACACACAGATACAGGTAGATACTCCTCAACCCCTGTGTTACACACAGATACAGGTAGATACTCCTCAACCCCTGTGTTACACACCTGATACAGGTAGATACCCCTTAACCCCTGTGTTACACACAGATACAGGTAGATACTCCTCAACCTCTGTGTTACACACAGATACAGGTAGATACTCCTCAACCTCTGTGTTACACACCTGATACAGGTAGATACTCCTCAACCTCTGTGTTACACACAGATACAGGTAGATACCCCTTAACCTCTGTGTTACACACCTGATACAGGTAGATACTCCTCAACCTCTGTGTTACACACCTGATACAGGTAGATACTCCTCAACCTCTGTGTTACACACCTGATACAGGTAGATACCCCTTAACATCTGTGTTACACACCTGATACAGGTAGATACTCCTCAACCTCTGTGTTACACACCTGATACAGGTAGATACCCCTTAACCCCTGTGTTACACACCTGATACAGGTAGATACTCCTCAACCTCTGTGTTACACACCTGATACAGGTAGATACTCCTCAACCTCTGTGTTACACACCTGATACAGGTAGATACCCCTAAGTCTGTGTGTAATACACACCTGATTCAGACAGATATTGGCTAACTTCTGTAGTTCAGTGAATTCAAATTTCAATTCTGTTCTGACCAATATGGGCAATGCAGCATGTACTTGTGTAAACATCAATAATATCTTTCAAGTCTGTGGTAACCATGGAAACAAGACATGCCACAAGCCATTTTTTGGCATATGTAATACGCAATGCCACTGATTAATCCATAATTTTACCGTGTTTCTGGAAACATGACAAATCTTACTATATTTATCCATAATTTCACCATGTTTCTGGAAACATGACAAATCTTACTATCCAGGATACTATGAACTTCCTTACTTTGTTCTCTGTAAATATTTTAACAAATTCCACACAAGGAAAGGACTTTTGTAGTGGAAAGAGACTATGCAGATTCCTAGAAAACACGGATTCTTCTAAGGTTATCAAAGCCAAATTCACATTCACCACCACTTAGCAGCTTCCAACAGGCAAAGTGAATTAGAAAACTGTCATTGTCAGATGTAGAGTTTTTACAACCTAGAGATATAGTTATAATCTAATTTGCTGGCAGTAAAGCTGTCTACCTGTCATGTTTATCAGACTTCTGTTTTGTTAGCATTACTGTAATGCTAGACCAGACATAAAAACATACCTGATGGATGCTTGACCTTGTCAATTGACCTTAGCTAGGGTCACTTAGTCTTCAGGACAGTTCAGAATAGAATCTGGTTATACAAAATGTAGATATATCTGTTTCTATGGCAACTCTAAAACCTTTGGGGTCAGTGACCTTAGGGAAATCTATCCAACTGGAAATTTCAGGGGGTGGGGAGTGAGAGATAGGGAGAAGGCAGGTTGTGTGTGGGTTACACTGGTGCTATATAACTTAAACAAAAGTATTCTAAAATATTGTACAATAATAATTCACACAGCATTGCTTTTCTTTATTATACGATAGGCAGATCTTTACATACCAAAGAAGATTGCAAATAACTTGCTTTTGGATCATATTAAGAGTTGAAAGAGTTTTAGAGGTAGGGAGTGGGGATGTTTGGATGGGTGTGACTCAGAGGAAGTCTCTCTCACTTTGTTGCCAATCTTATTTCTCAGCATGAAGATTTTCACCTTATTTTCAGGTATGCACAGCCCAGATTTCAGCTCCAATGACAAAGTGTAATCATTCTTTATTTGATTAATCATGAAAACAGATGCTGTGAATCCACCTTGGTATTTCTAGTAAACCTGAACAAATACATTATTTTGTCTAGCCTAACGGAAACTCTAAAGACACTTAATGACACTGTAAACACTGACTAGGTACCTGGTACATCTCCATTAGCATAAACATGATATAAACATTGTATGTACCAGTATATATCATGGAAATTAACAACATAAACACAAATTATCAATAATACAAATAGACAGCATCCCATTAGATCATTTTTGGGATCCGTTACCCAGAATATCAAACCAGTGCATGTATATTTTCTCCTTGTAAATACCACTTTTACAGTCTCAAGTAAATGCAACATCCCTCTTGATTCAATGTGCCAGAGAAAAAATCTCCATACCATCAAAACAATTTTATTTACCGAATGTCTACACAATCTGAAAGCCATTGTTATATTCAACCTTGATACCCTCAGGGTGTAGAAGTACAGTAAAATAATTATAGTGACAATATCTGAAGAATCACATACATCACCAGATCTGGGTCAGGAATATCATCGGGAAGATCTCTTGGTTTTTAGAGGGCGGACAGAATTTACCTTTAAAATCAAAAAGGGTGGTGAATTCTTCAAATTTTTCTGAGATTTTCAGTAAATGGAGTCAAACCCCTTTAAACTTCACTATCAAATTATCAGAGAAACAGGATCCTAGTATTTAGTATCAATCTATCTGGTTTATAGAGATAATTTACAACTTATAAGGATTTAGGTGAGAGAGATGATACCAAGGCCAAGGTCCCTAACACCTGACCCTGTGTAAAGAGACCAAGCATGATAAATGGCGAGGACACCATCAACATCTTCTAACACTAAAGATTGTACACTGTACAGGCCGGTGGCTATTAAAACATATATCTTAATGATTCATATGACTAACACCGTGAGAATATATCCTTGTCATATTAGGTAAAACGCTAGGTATTCAATGCATCACCTGTTTAACATAAAATCTAGGTTATGAGTGGACATATTATTACAATATCATATTGAGGACAAATCTTATAGATATAAAGACATTAGTGATATCAAATATGCTGAATAATTTGACTTCACATCGGGTCACAGAAAACTTCAAGACTGAATTGTTTGCCTTTGTTTCTGATAATAATAGATTTTTGTTTCATGAGAGAGACATAACTTGAGGCATTGCTAACAATTTTTGATCAATTTCTTAAATCTGATTACAGAAACTACCATTACATGTACTGGTATATAATGAAATTTACATTACATGGAGGTAATTGTGGTGTATAACTGTGGTGTATGAGTTTAACACTAAGAGACTATCAAACTGACCCTAGGGTTATACTGTGTGGACTAGAACTAGTATATATACTAACATGACAATCTCACATTATCAGACAACAGTAGATATAATCATGAGACAATGTCTTAATGAATAAATCTGAAGTAAACACAAACATAAAAATTATCAACAGACTTGTGTTATCTAGTGAAAGTACAATATGACTTGTAATAGTTGATTACCTGTAACAGTACATGTAATATATACAACTTACCACAGGTGAGAATAGACAACATGGAAGACAGGATGAAATGGTTCAACAGTATAATCCTTCACAGAAATCACAGGAAATATCTACACCACATTTAAATACCTCAAATTCATCTGTACATAACTGACATGCGTGGTATTGTATCGAGTGTTTACAAAATCCCTACCTTGTGAAATTGATCATCAGCAGATAACGGTTAGTCATCTCTATGAACAAATACTCAATACACGATAAAATGTGTCGACCATTCCCTTCCGTGGTGTTGTCTAGCCCCACCCAATGATTAACAGTTGTGTAATAAAACTGATTGATAAAGGAAGCTTATATACCAATCGCATGGTGAAAACCGGCAAGTACAGAGAAAATACCATCAGACTACAACAGCGTACATCACACACATGTTGTGTGCACATTCATATGTGTAGTAAATACCAGCGGAGTAGCTATACATCACACAACACCTACCACTGAATGGTCCTCCATGTGTTTGTGTTGGTTTCAGCAGGTGCTTGTTCTCTGATCACAGGTACTACATCACGTAAATACAACAACACATAGACCTACATTAAAACACGCTGGATCACTACAGTCACCAAATTTAAAATCCAATCCCAGAGCTCCACATCATGAACAGTCCTCACCGGAGATTAACCTTCAGCGTTAGATTTATATGTAAATCTGCTTGTTTTGGTAATACATTGTTTACATGCTGGCCACCCTGGATCATCACTGTAGACAGAAACACTGGTGATCTCACCTCTAATATTGATCCTGTTACTACTGCTCTGTCCTGCTCTTACAGTCACACGCTTTACGTTCACGTCCTGCCTTTTTATGTATGCATACATGAACTTAGTATAATATATGAGTATATGATAATCAAATTTATTCAACAATTTAAATTTCCTTGAAGATATTTCCACATATGACACGTAATTATTTCCTGATGCAGATTTGCTTTTATCAATGTCATATTTCAGATACATCAAAAGCCATGTGTATATCAAATAGATATTAGCTGTACAAGATATAATTTTCTAAATCAATTCAACTTGCTTTGTATTCATTTCGAATTAATAATTTTTTAATTGTGACTTCTATATGGATTTATCTATATGAAATAGTTAAGCCATGAGCACATAGTACAGATTGTGGTACAGCGTTGTACAGGTATTAAAACAAGGCAGTGTTATTCATCTTCTGCCTGGTATGACCCTGTGTAACATGATCTATCAAATCTTTGGCTAGAAGAACGGCTTAAGGTTTTTTGTTCATCCCCTTATTCCTAACAT